TAAGTAAGGAGCACATTCACATACCCAGTGCATGCGGCAATTTTTTTTGCAAGTCATGTTTTGAGTTTTTCATTTTTTTAATAAAAAGTTAAAATAAAGATTTTAATTTAATTAATAAAACAGGAGAACGAACAAACTAGGAGTAAAACAAAAGTGATATCCTCAAAAATAGGAGTTCATACATAAACTCCTCTAAATAGGAGTAATTAATTTAATAAATATTAACTTAATTAACTTAACCGCCGTCACGTCCTCTCCTCCGCCACACCGCACCACTACAAACGAAACCTACCATTTACGCCTTTGATTTTTCGTCGTCACCGCTGTCAACATCACTGCTCTATACCATTATCAACAACACTACCATCACATTCTGCACCACTGCCATTACAGCGTCACATTAACAGTTAATACATTGTCAAAGAAAGACATAATGTCAAACATGACACCATATAGTGTCACATATGACAATATATAATACCATAGATGCCCATATATAATGTCACATATGCTCATATATAATGTCACAATGTTACACAATGACAGAATGCCAAACCAAATCTAATGCCCTCCACGATCGCCAGCGAGAGTTTTGAAGAAAATAGAATTCAATCAAAGATCAAGAGAGAAAATGCTCACTTTTGGAATCATACTTTGAGGAAGAGAGATGGGGGTGGGCAACGTGACACAAGTGCGGCGATGAATCTAAGAGGGGTGGAGTGCATGGCGGCAGATACCTCAAGGAAGACTCCTCTACTTGTGGACTCTGGTTCGGGGAATAGCCAAGATGGCCACAAGTCCAGCGGCGACAAATGCAGAGAGTGCTGCCACAAAAAACGAAATAATCTCAGAAGCAATAATGGAAGAAAGAAAAATTCTATTAGAATATACTCCATATATACTACTCAGAAAATCAAATAAAGAACAAATGTTTTTCAATTTTAATTACATGTCCAGAAAATATTTGTTGAAATTGAACTCAAATTCAATATATTCAATTATCCTTAAAGAGTCATCAAATTTGAATTGAATATATCGTTGAATTGAATAATCATCAAATATGAACTGAAAATATTCATTTAGCTTTGTACGCTAGAATATACGTAGTATCATAGAATACACCTACAATATATCATGTAAATTACTCCTATTTAGAGTAGTTTAAGTTTGAACTCTTATTTTAAGGATATGTCATATGTTTTACTCCTATTTAGGGGGTTTTCTTTCCGAGGAATTCCACAAGAAGAAGAATCATTCTTGAAACTCCTGGGCTCTTTGTTTCACCCTCTTAATGGTTCAGATGTCTGAATGGTTCATTACTTAATGGTTTAGACTGTTTGTTTCAGCCTCTTAATGGTTCAGATGTCTGAATGGTTAAGACATTTGCCTCTGAATGGTTAAGTATATATTATACAGAGTCTGAATGGTTAAGACTTCTTCTCTGAATTGATCAAACATTTGCCTCTGAATAGTTAAGCAATATACTAATTCTTAATGGTTCAGACCTCTTACTGGTTCAACACTTAATGGTTCAGACCTCTTACTGGTTCAGCACTTACCTATTCAGAAGTTTCCAAACAGCCCATCTCTTTCAATTTTTATCTTCACACTAAGAGTCTCTTCTATATAATTTAAATTATTAAGTTTTATTTACTTCAATTCTGTTTCTTCTAGTTTATTCTAATTTCTTTCACTTCTAGTTTTTTTCCAATTGTTTTCAAAGTTTCTTCTATTTTTTTTAATTCCCAACTAATTACTTTAAAAGTGATGTGATTTTCATGAATTACTATTATTATTACTATTATTATTATTATTCATATTATTACTGTTTTTTTCATAATTATAGTTTACTTTTTTTAATATTTATTTTTTCCATGTCACTTTTTTTGTGATTCACACTCATTATTATTTATCTTTCATTTTTAATACTGTATAAATAATACGGAGTATAGTTTTATTGGGTTATTTTGTTTTTTTTCTTTTAAATTTACATGACACTAAACGATGCTCTAAAAGTTAAGAATATGTTATTAATCTAAATCAACCCGCGAAAACATCAATATTTTATATTAAATAATACTAATTTTACAACTCCCTCTGTCTCTAATTAAATGACACGTATACTACTATTCACGTTGTTGAATTTTCTTTACTTTCTTTATCTATTATATATTATAGTTATAATAAAAATAAAAATAATAATAATAGTGGTAGTAGTAGTAGTAATACTAATAATAATAATAACAACAACAACGACAACAACAACAACAACAACAACAATGTTAACAACAACAAGAACAATTATAATAAGAATGATATGTTAAATACATTTAAATAACTATTTGAAGTTCTTTAATTTCTACTACGTAGTTTTTTTTCCAATTTCTTTAAAATTCTTCCTATTTTTCTAGTTTTTATATATAGTTTCTTCTCACATTCATCCCTTATTTTCTAGCCTTAAAGAACAAACGCTAATTATTGTATTACCTCCGTTTCTCAAAAGAGTTCCACTTTTGATTTTGGGGGAAAATAAGGAAGTGTTAAATTGTAGTTGACTTTCCAATTTTGCCCTTGATGTGATGGGTAAAAGTAAGATGTAATAGTTTAGTTGTTAATGAAAAAGTATGATGTGATAGGTAGGATATGAAAAAGTAGGGGTAAAAGTGGTTTTTTAATAGAAAGGGGAAGTGTTTTAAGAAAAACAAAAAAATTAAAGAGGAAAAGTTTTAAAAAACGGAGGGAGTATTTTTTTTAAAGCAATAGGATTGTATTAAATCAAGTTAGCCAGAAATGAATTTCCGAGTGAACCAACCCACTCCCTTCTACTCTAAAGGTAATGAGAAGCCCGCACTAATAGAAGCACAATCTCATCATTAGCAGAACAAAAAATAAAATACAGTCACAAATCTCCGCCACAAAGAATTCAAAGATTTTTACAATCATCGAGAATAGAAGTACTCCCTCCGTCCCCCTAAGATGTTCTCATTTTGATTTTTGGTGGTTTTTAAGGAGAGTTGAAAAAAGGTAAAAGTTTACCATAATACCCTTAATGAAAAATGGGTGGAGTGTATTAAATGAGGTGGGTGAGGTGTAATAAATAAAGTAAGTAGGTGTAGTTGTGGTATTTTAATTGTTAAAAAATGAAATGAGAAGATCTATTGTGGACAAAGAAAAAAGGCTATTAGAAAGATCTATGGGGGACGGAGCGAGTATCATATTTGAGTTATTGATAGAATTTAAATACTACTAGAGTATGTGTGACCAATTCAACCATTTGATTGCTATTGTTTCCGCTTCTCGTACGTACACCATAACTAACTCCCGTTACAAAAGCCAAATAATTGACTTCTAATTTTATCCTTGATAGGATGAATAAAAGTAAGATGTGATGAATAGATTATTAGAGAAAAAGTATGATGTAATACGTAGGGTAAAAAATAAGAGAAAAGTAATTTTTTAAGTGAAAGTATTTTGGTGGATGAGAAGAAATGAAAGAAGAAATGTCTTGGTGAACGGAAGGAGTATAAAATAATACTCCCTCCGTCCCCCATAGATCTTCCCAATAGCCCTTTTTCTTTGTCCACAATAGATCTTCTCATTTCATTTTTTAACAATTAAAATACCACAACTACCCCCACTTACTTTATTTATTACACCTCACCACTTCATTTAATATACTTCACCCACTTTTCATTAAGGGTATTATGGTAAACTTTCACCTTTTTTCAACTCTCCTTAAAAATCACCAAAAGTCAAAATGAGAACATCTTAGGGGGACGGAGGGAGTAGTATTTACATTTCCCAATTATACCCTACTTGTTTCCATTGTTATCGTTTCACCTCGATGACATTTCTTTCGCCTCTCTTTCTAAAAGTCAAAACATAAATAATTTTTATCAATTTTCATATGCAAATTAAATATTGAGGTTGGGATAATATATAAAGAGAGTAATAATGTATATATAGTTTTATGAGAGGGATAATGTGACTTTAATTTGTGCAAAGAGTGTTCGAAAGCCCCAAAGGTTCCAAAATGCATTCTTTATCACATGTTCGACCCCCCTGCTGCCTGAGCTGTCAGAAACCAATTTCGGATTCCTTCCTCACCCATTTTGTATCATCTTTAAATATGCTTAAAACTTTTTATTTTTAGTGCCTTCTCGCTGTTCACTTATCTTCATACCATTTTTAATCATGAGAATCTATATATGTATCTATCTCAAATATACACAATTATGGTTGATTAAATTTATGGTTATACTTAGAAGTCAACAAATTAAAACTCTAAGATCATGAACAAAAAACAACTCATTTAAAAGATTTAATTGGTCGTTAGAGACCAAAGTTTCCATACACTATAGCCCACTAGGCATGGATATACACATGCATGGTCACCTTTTTTATTTAAAAATTAATAATCATTTTTATAATGTCAGAAAAAAATTATTTTAGCTTGATGCTAGTTAGTAAAAAAGATTAAACAATTAACGAAAAGGATATACGGCATGCAAAGCAACATATACCAAAGCTAGCACAAGATTGCAAGAATGTAATGAGATAAATATATACTATAGTATTTAATATTACTAATACCTTTGTGTGTGTGTGTGAATCTTTTCTTCTTCTTTTTTTTTCCTTGGCAAGAAGCTTCCTCTTTTTCTTTTCTTTAAAATGGTATCTTTGCATAATTATATTGCTTCCTCATCTAAGCTAGCCTCTTTCTATCATCTCATCAAACTAACCACCAACCTACTTTAATTTATTCACTTATTATTCCCTTCTTCACTCAAAAAATAAAGGGAGATTCTACCTAGCTCCTCCTAGCTTTGATTCTCCCAAGTCCCAACAGTTATATTTTATAATATACTTCTTCATCATAATATGTATATTATCCCCCCCCCCCCTTCCCTAGCTAACTAAAACCATGTATTATATATAGCTATTGTGCTCTATCTATATATATATATATATATATCACAAGTTAATACACCAAGACTTAGCTTCTTACTCTATTTAATTTGATGATGGGGTCGCCCTTGGAGCTAAAACCACTTCTTCTGAGACCATTTGGAGATCAGAGCGATGATCACCAAAAGCTCCAAGAGTTGGTTGCCCGTCTTGAAGAAGAACGCCTCAAGATCGACGCTTTTAAACGCGAGCTTCCCCTTTGCATGCAGCTCCTTACCAATGGTACGTACGCATATATATTACTCGCATATGAAACCTTAATTAATTTTTATAAAAAAGTTGGATGGTGGTTGACTTGTATCTCTTGTTATAAAAAAGTTGGATGGTGGTTGACATATGAAATTTTGATATCATGTCAACCGATCGACTAACTCAGCCAAAAATTTAAACTTCTGATTGTATGCGTGGAAATATATTTTTATATCCTAACACTATTAACTAAGAATTGAAGATATACTCCGGGGTATAATATATGTATGGATTTTATTAGAAGTTTCCTCAGCTTTTTGAAATTTGTTACTCTATTGTTAAAATTTGTGCATTGCTTTACTCCTTTTGTTGTTTCATTAGTTTGAAATTTGAATAATGAACTTTTGTCTTGTGACCCTATACGCATTCTTGACTTGCTTTCTACTTTTAATTTCCACAACTTTTGATCTCAGTTTCATAGATTAATACACTATAAATATTTTCTACATAAAACATGTGAATGATATGCCATACTTATACCATTCATTTTGTTCACTTTAAGGACACAATAAGTAATTTGATTGGCATGGACAATATTTGTCTCAGATGGAAAAAGAGTGAGACTTTAAAGAGTGAAAGCTTGTACATATATACTGGCCTGGTACTATTTTGATTCGGTTAATTTCTTCATAGATACACAATGGAATTAAAGTGAGAAAAGCAAAAGTTTGGGTAGCTTATTTTATAAGTTTGGGTAACTAATTAAGTAGAGTTTTTACTTTTCAGTTTTCACAATAGTATTTTTTTTTTGTTTATCCATAATTTGAGCAGTTTTGTTTTATTAATTGAATGGAATAAAACACATACAGCTATGGAGGCTTCAAGGCAGCAGTTACAAACTTACAAGGATTTAGTGGCTCAGCCGCGGCCGCCGCCGGTTCTTGAAGAATTCATCCCACTCAAGAACAAATCATCTTCAAGCCACGACGACGACGATGATGTCATCAGGGAGAAAGATACGGTCAAGAAACCGAACATGGCGCCCGACAACAAGGCCAACTGGATGACCTCAGCCCAGCTATGGAGCCATCATCATCATCATCATCAAGCAAATATTAATAAAAGTAAAAGTGAAGGCTCCAAGCAGTTAGATGTTGTTGTTTACAGTTCTCCTAAAGAAGGTGGTGGTGATGATGATGATGATGATAGTATAGGGTTTTCAATTATGACCCCAAAGGCTGCAGTCTCGGAGACTGCAGCCGTTGGGGGAGGGGCGTTTCTGACATTTCCCAATCCGACCACCCTGGCACTGGGCGCGTCGCTGTCCGCGCGTGACAAAAAGGGGGACGATCAAGCAGACAACGTGGATGCGGTGAGTTGTATCAGCCAAAGGGACGGTCAAACCGCCGCTGCAGCGGCGGTGGCCGCCAATAACAACAGTAACTCCTCCTCCACCACCGCCACGCAAACGCAACGGAAGGCGAGAAGGTGTTGGTCTCCCGATCTGCACCGGCGCTTCGTTAATGCTCTTCACATCTTAGGTGGATCTCAAGGTATATACATATAGAAATATTTGCACTAAATAGGACTAAAACATAAGTCATTCACTAAATAGCATTTAAACTACTCCCTCCGTCCATGTATGATCTTCCCATTACGCGTTACGAGGCTTGACCGACTTTATTTTCAATTCAATTTAATTAATTATAGAAGTAAAATTTTTAAATAAAATTTATATAATAATAAATTACATGAAAAGTTCTACAAAATAAGTGGTGACAAGACTATATTATTTTATTAAATGACTAGTAAAATTGAGCAAACAAAGTGAGTAAAGTTTGACCCTGTAAATAGTATCTGGGAAGATCTATGGTGGACAGAGGGAGTATTTTATTTTCTAAATAACACTTAATAATGTCCATAATGTGTAGTGATGGCTAATAATTACTTGAGTAATGACTAATGAATAATGACTAAGAGCCTGTTTGGGAATAGCGTTAGAGATTAGCGTTAGCGTTTTGAAAAGGCTATCTACGGGCAGCATTTAGCGTTAACATTTTCAAAATAATCTGCACCGTTAAAATTTTATCCAAAACACTGACGCTAATGCCTAAAGCTGTTCCCAAACAAGCCCTAAAAATGCTACATTGAGAAAAGAACACATGTGATACTATTTAGAGAAAGTCATTATATTTTAGTTATATTTAAATACATTTCCCGTATATATATACATGCATCCATCTTCTTAATTAGCTCGCCATGATCATCATATGATTATGCATCACTATTTAATTCATGAAATTAAACTGACACATTGTAATAAATACATGCAGTTGCCACCCCAAAACAAATCAGAGAACTCATGAAAGTTGATGGTTTAACTAATGATGAAGTCAAAAGCCATCTCCAGGTACATATATACATACTCCCTCCTTCATATAAAGATATGGACATATTGACTAAAGTGGTTAAATAAGAGAAGGATAATTTTGTATTGATTTTCCAAAAATACCCTTAATGTGATGCGTAAAAATAAAATGTGATGTGTATAGGGTATAAAAAAGTAAGGAGTAAAAGTCGATCGTAATATAAATGAGAAGGACTTTTAGAGACATGGTTTTTTTGAAACGTGAATGACTTTTTGAGACGAATGGAGTATAAATGAGCTATTATATGAGCAACAAAAATTATTTCAAAATATATAGAAACTAATAAAACCTTTTTGTGAAATGCGCATAAAGACAATGTAGATCCTTTTTGTAAGGATGATAATTAAGTTTTTTTTTCTGAATACACTAAATTTTATCCATGACCATAATTCTTTTACCACAAAAATCAATGGTGGAACTTATTAAAAAAGTACTACGTATGAAATTTGACATTTTTTTCTTGTGTGGTATGCAGAAATACAGACTCCACACGAGGAGGCCGATTCCGAGCCCACAAACGGCGGCGTCAGGGGCACCTCAGCTCGTCGTTTTAGGCGGAATATGGGTCCCGTCGGAGTACGCAGCGGCAGCCACGCACAACGGCATGCCGCCCTCAGTGGCCGCCGCCGCCACCTCCCTGTACGGGGCCCACCCGGCCGTCCACGCACCCCAGCAGCACCACTACTGCCCCTCCCCCGCCGCCTCGCAAGTGGCGGCTCATCACGAGCTATACGCGCCGCAGCACCGGGCGGCGGCGGCGCTCCACCACTTGCACCACCAGCAACCACCAGTCCTCCACCACCCGCTTCACGCGTACAAACCGCCGCCTTCTTACGCCCAAACGACACAGAGCTCCCCGGCGTCTGGTTACCGCTCCGAGAGCATCGAAGACGGGAAGTCGTCGGAGAGCGGCGGAAGCTGGAAAGGCGACAGCGGCAGCGATAACGGCGGCAAAGCCGTGCTGTTAAGAGAGGGAGGTGAAATGGGCAAAAATAACGGGACGGAGATCAGTCTCAAATTCTAACGTTTTCTTAGCTTGCTTGAAACCCTTATTATTATTGGGAATTAGCGTTGATTTTTTTTTTATTTATTTAGTTCTAAGATAAGCTAAAGTATATACTTCGTATATATATATATAGATTCAATAATTATGTTTGACTACGGAGTATGCTTGATAGGCCAATAATTACAGATAGTATTCAGTCTTGTAATATTTGCTTTTTGTTACTCCATTTTATTCATATTTTTTTTCTCTTATTTGACCTTTTACGGGCTTCAGATATAACATTTTGATATTAGAATATGTATTTTTTGTATAAACTTTTTTTAAACTTGTGATATCTCAAAACTACGTTTCAAAATAAATATATCCATGTTAAACTTGGATCGCAATTCAATGTGACTTTTCTTTGATCCATGTTTAATGTATAAAATATTGACCACAAAAGTCAAAATGCAAAATAAAGACATAAGGATAATTTAAATACAAATTGTAATTCAATGTAGGGTGTCCCTCTGAAAATAAAGGGCAAGTTTAGTTTGCGATACTCTGTATCTGAAAGAGCAAGTGAAGAGCGAAAATCAAAAGTCACGCACAAAAAAAAGAGTTCATGAACCCGAATGTCAATACGAAGCGCAAACCCCACGAGTTACAAACTCGGGATCGAGGCCAAAAATTTTGAATCTTGAATACATCCAACGGACTAAGCACAACCACATGAGAACATCAACCATACGATTTTGTTCCTCTCAACTACACAAGTACTCCATCCAAGGCCTCAAATGATGTCATGTTTCGACAACTCTGTACTGACTCAATGCAACTTTGAGTCTTTTACAATTAACTAAGGGCCTCTTTTTTCGTTTGATTTGATTGGTTTTGATATGCATTTATTAAAATCTAAGCTAACTACACTGATCTAATTCTAGTTAAAGTCAAAGGTATTTGTAATCTATTATAGTACTCCGTATAGTTGAGTTCCAATCAAAATTAAGTGAAGAAAAAAAACCCTTACACTATGTTTGGTTCAAAGAATTCAAAAGAAAAAAGAAAAGAAAATGAAGTGGAAAACAAGTTTTCTTGTTTGGTTAGAAAGGAAAAGTGGAAGGAAAAGAGAATAAGAAGGCAAAATATTCCTCCCATTTTGGTGAGGAAAATGAGAGAAAACCATTTTCTTTTCTTTTCCTTCAAAATTCCTTGAACCAAACATAGTGTTAATATCATAAGCACATGACAATTTAACCTAATACTCATAAGTCTAAATTGGCACCACTCTTATTGGCATCAAAAAACAACAACACCAGCAAAATAAACAATTCTCAAACTCCTAAACATCCCTAATCCCCAACCACCCCCACTCGAGCTAGCCCAAATTGAACTAGTGTTACATTGGTGTCGCAAACAAGTGATGGCAAAATAGACACCCTCATAGTACTTATTTATAGTTCCGTCTAGTTTCAGTATCCTCTTAAATTTTGATTTGCACGGTTGCACCCGATCATTTTACACTTGGGAAAAAAGATCAACATGGAGAGTTTCAAATGTAGCAAAACTTATCTAAACATAATAGAATCACCCTCAAGAATGTAAGCGATATATTCCTAAAAAAATTGCAATCAAATGAAGTTTATTGCACCTGACCGAAATTATGGGTGTTGCTCTCCTTTCTAATTTCGTACATTTCGGTCTAGTGTCACAACAATGCCTAGGTTTTCCCTTTACATTTCAGCCCAATACATATTGGTGTGTATCCCAAATTAATTGACACCATTTGACTTCACCGAGATTAAAAAAGGATTGTTAAAAAGGGAACAGTGAGTGGTTAAATTTTTTTCAAAAGAAGAAAAAAAAAATGAAGACCACATATTTCTTACTTTAATAGAAAAATAAAAAAGTGTGACAATTTTTTTGGGGCAGACTGAAAAGGAAAAAAAGACGTTTAATTAGGAGTATATACTAATGCAAATGGGCTGCTTACCCAAAAATCATTGAGTCCTGATAAAAAAAAACAAGACAAATGTATCGAGGGTATAATGGTAAATTAGTTATTGCATCTCCTCCTCTTCCCTCTTGAACCAAAACATAATACTTTCCCCTCTCCTTCAAACAAACACACTTTACTAAGTTTAGTAGAATCACCATTACTCTCTAGTCTAATTTCCTCTTCACACACCTTAGACAGCCAAATCAATAATCTGCCTGTGTCCAGAGGGAAGTACTGACTATTCAACACAAATGACTTCTTTTTCCTTTTGTTTCAGTAGCAATGATATTGGAAATCCTACCATGCATCAGTGTATAAGTACAATTGTATGTACCAAATGCCATGGGTTAGAATGTAAAGCCAATGTTTTCCATGTCTATTGTCCTGCAGAACTTGCATACATAGAATGTCAGTGAGTGTGACCAATGGAGCAATTGCTAACTGCAAGTTTAGATTAAAGCCCTAACAACAGAAAACATCGATAATTAATAAACTCTCAAACCTCTAAAAAAACCTTGCTACTCAGAATGCATCATTCAAACTGAAACCACCATCGCATTCCATATCCAGCATTGTTGAGTGGACAAGCGACTGCAAGAAGGAACTGAAATAAGGTTTCTTTTGAAACAATGGATGCACCAAACAAGTTTAACACACGATATATACCCATCCGTTCAGGAGAGATTTGCACACGATAATATAGCTCATTGGCTGGAATAATAAATTAGGGGAAGCTGGTTAAGAATTTTATCATTTTATAGACTATTCTTTTTAGCCTCTTTATTTTGTCTCTGATGTCTCTATGTTCTTCCCTTAGAGGACATATCATATGCTCATACATGAAGCAATTCAGAGGCGCTATTATTGCAACACGGCAGTGGAAGTGGTGCTACTTTAATCTCATATATTGTGAAAAAAAAAAATTGTCTCTACCTGAAGCTCCTGCTCAGAAACTTTAAGTCTTTCACCACAATCCCTTACATGGAGATAACACTTGAGTAGCTGCATTCAGTAAAGAATCAGATTTAGAATGGCTGGAAATACCTGCACCTACGAATAAGAACCAAAATGGGTGGAAATATAGAATAACCTTAGATACTTGGTGCTGCCTTTGTGACCTAAGCTTCTTCACACCTTGCAGTGAATCCTCCAGTTTCTGTTATTACCAAACAGTATGATGGAATCAACACGTGAAGTCGCTGGCATAGGCAGGTTGTAGACAGTTGGGGTATCCTGGGTTGGCTGTTGTTTGTGTTATACTACTTCCATTCTCAAATTAAATTCACACTTTCTTTTTTGCCCGTCCCAAAATAGACTTCACATTTCTCTAACTTTCTTTTAAGGAAAACAATATGTGATTCACAACATTTCTCTCATTTCTAAACAAATTTCAACCAAACTTCAATTTTCATAACTTTTCTTACACTCTATGAAGTCAAACTAGAAATATGTTTTAGGGACAGAGGAAGCACATTTTAAGATTTTTAAAGACTAATCTAAGTAATATTAAAATGTCATAAATAAATACTCCCACCGTCCCAAAAAAAATTTCATCTCACTTTTTACGTATCCCAAAAAACTTTTCAATTTTGGCCTAAATAGACATAAATGCTCTTTTTTTTCTAAATCTAACCTAACCCGAACTCCCTTTTATGTCTTCCACATTCTGACATTTCCCAAACCCTACTCGTTTTGATTGTCATCATTTCCCTTTGATCAAAGTTTTAGAACTTTCCCTCCCAAAAGTCAAAACTGGAAAAGCTTTGTGGGACGAAAGATGTATTTGTCAAACTAAAAAAGAGATTTATAATTTCTTCCTCTGTTTCAAAGTTATGTATGCATTTTAAGAAATTAGTAAATACTTGTCTAATATACTTACTATTTATTATTTATGAGATTTATAATTTATTATTTATTAGATTAAAATCTCATAAATAATTAGTAAATACTTGTCTAACAAGATTAAGAGAAAATTCTACTCTTCCTCACTCTCTCAAACTTGCATAGCTCTCAACAATTGGAGGTAAAATTTAGTCTTTCCCCTCAATGTTGTTAAAACGTCATCCCATAGCATCCTCGACAAATATAAGCATCAAGTGCTCAAGTCTATGCGTAAAAGCATTTAAATTGCTCAACTTTTATTTGGAAAAATTACATTATATCGATAAAATGTTTTCTATATTAATTACTCCCTTTGTCTCAAAAAACCATTTAGAGTTTGAGTTATGTGGTCAAATTGCTACACACTTTGACCATGAATAATTTAGTTTTAAATCAATAGATGTAATAAAAATTTGATATATCAAAATTAAATCTTACTTTGTACATAAGGAATAATAATTATCCAAGGCAGACAAATACTGCATCGTGTGTAAGGTAAATTAAGAGATATGTAGTATATTTCAAAGTGTTAATTTTAGGAAATATAAAATGATTTGGAAATATATCAATTATTAATTACGATTACCCAAGAAAGAGCTTGGATTGCGTGTTTTGCCTATTTAAAAAAATACATTTATATTTCCATATTATAGAAAATAGTCATTGGCCCCAGCTCAATTTTATTTCTAGCTATCTCAGGGTGGGCGATCTATTTATTTAAAAGCATGATTTGATCTGTATAAAGTAACAAGAGAGTTGCAAGACTAGCAGAAGTTACAACATTGCAGCAACAAGACTGAACCTGGAGCTTTTCATGTAACTCTGAAACTAGCTTTGTCTTCTCCTGCACCATTTCCTCAATCTGAGGTATCTGGAAAAGCATTCAAGATTGAGTTCAAACTATGTGGCATAAAAATTGATCTTACTTACAAGAAGAGTATATTTGACTAAGCATGATGGCTCAAGTAAAAAAATTATTTTAATATACCCAGACAGAGATTATAAAAGAAAACCTCAATTGTTCGCTAATCGAGCCATATTAAACACGTTATTGTTTTATTCTTCCAGGAGAAAGCAATCACAAATATGGAGTGACAAATTATTAAATGAAATAAAACATGTATTTTAGTTCTAAAACTCTATGTTCTTTACTCTGGTACAATGGTAAGGTTGTGTGCATCTTGACCCCTAGACCCTAATGGAGTTCGGATTATGGTGGGTTGTCTCCCATTCAAATGTAACAAGACATGATAAATGATAACAGGTATAGTGGGAGCAAAATAAAAATCAACCCCTAGTATTTATTGATTCATTCATTCCTTACTGGCAATCTTAACCATAAGTTGCATGATGGGACAATGTGAGACTCCAGATTTTTCTGAAACATATCAATACCCACCCAAAAGCACTTAAATGAGTATTAACAGTTAAGCTTTAGCAACTCAAAAACCACTCCATAAAGAGCACTCGCTGAACATATACCTTGTTTTGAAGTTCTTCAAGCTTTCTATTTGAAACATCCAGTTGCTTTTCAGCCTTATTAAAGGTACAAAATAATTAGTTACATCAACATGCTACAACGCACATTGTAAAAGCAAAACCCACTGAAACAGTAATGAGCATACTGCATACCAGATCATGGTTTTTTTCACTTGATTCAGGAGAACGATCTCTATCATAGTGATCAGTACCAGACCTGCATCAAATGTTTGTTATCAAGATAAGCTAGTATGACAACCATTTGATGAACGCTCCTATGATTTCGAGAGAGCAAAATAAAAGTATGCAACTAATTGATGTTTTATTCATTTGATCAATACAATGGTTCAAAAAGGCATCATACGGTCATACCCATTAGGTAACTTAGAAGTTAGATCATTGTCTCTGCTTGCACGATTATCGTCATTCTTCTGCCTCTTTCTACGGTGATCTCTAATTCTTTCAAAGCTGTCACCATGATTCCTTTGACGTTCTCGTTCAACGTCTATATCTCTTTTGTATTCTTCAGCTTTATCTCTATCCACATTATAATCTCTTTCTAGATCCGGATTATGCACTCTCGGGTACCCCTTCTCCCTGTTATGATCACGGTCTCGAGAACGGTCCCTACGACCATCCCTAAGTCTATCATAATCATAACCATCATCTCTTTCCCAGCTGTCCTTATCACTATCCAGCCCTCTCTTAGTGTGACGATGAGAACTCTGATGGTCAAAATTTGACCTGCCCCTGGTCCTGACATCATTCACTCTTATGACCCGCCCTTTAATGGTCTAGTTATAAATTGGAGTGAAATAGAATCAGAAAAAATTAACACTAGTATAAATGATAAACCAACAACAATTATGATAATAAGGAATATTCAGAAGTACATGCATAAAGACATACCTGTCCATCCATATCAGCAATAGCCTGCTGAGCAGATCGAGGATTTGTGAATGTGACAAAACCATAACACTTTCCCCTGACATTTTGGTCATTAATTATCTGCAAATCAAACATGTCAAAGGAATCAAAGAGACTACATACTATACATAAATTGGAGATAAAGAACACAAGTCATGCAAGGGAAAAAAAACTACATATGGCTTTTACAAAAGAAACTGTGGAACTTATGCAATAGACAGCTTCCTGAGAATAAGTTTAAGCAAATAAAAGTACTCCGCAATAAACAAAAATTAAACTTGAATTACTACTACTGCTACATCACTGCTAGAAAGGTATTGAGGACATTTAACAATAAAAGTGTGATACACTAATGCATGTACACGAGGAGTTTGGTTAAATCCCGTATAGATTCTAACAGATATACTTCAATAGTAGTTTTAAAATTATTGTTATAACAATATGCTCTTGTCAACATATCATGTCCCTAGTTATTTTAAGTATTCAGCATTGATTTGAACCTTCATCTTTCACAAAAACCACATGCTAAAAGCAATTTCCCAAATCTGATGGAGTAACATTTTAGTTTACTTGAAAAAACATCCTAAAACCTGACTTCGTGCTATAGAACCTTAAAATGACCAAGTATTAGGGTTCAATCATATAGTACTTGAGAAAAAAATTGGGGTTAAAGTCATTTATGATTTAACGCAAACTACAACCCAAGGGTTTGAAGCTTCACCCTCTTCTCTTACGCCAATCTCAAGCTACCATTATTATAAGCAGTCCTCTACTATGAACAGTGACTGAAGGAAGAAAGGCACAACAGAATCGGTATAGCTACAAGCGCAAACACTCCAAAAACACAGCTTTAACTTAACATCTATACAAAACAAAAGTGATGGCATGAAGAGATCAAAATCGCCTGATTTAGTGCAATGACTTTCGCAGAAACAGAAGACAGAAATGAGATTCATCCATTGGAAGCGTTATCAATTTGAATGTTGAAACCCTAATCATAGGCCTAGGCGCAAGTGCCTGAGTGGATACAGAAGAAGATAGAGGGTTGGGGGAAACCTTGACGTCGACGACGGAACCGTAGATGTTGAAGATTTCCCGGAGACTTTCTTCGGTTGTGCTGTACGGTAAACCGCCGACGTATATGGAGCTCACGTCGTCTATCGTCATCGTATTCCGGTCGGCCCAAAGCTTCCCAGCGCAGCTAACGTTTGAGTTGGGATATGGAATTAGACTGATCTACTCTGCTGTACATCCGGCCCATTATTTTTTCAAAAAAAAAAAGGTCAAATAATTACATTTTCTGAAGTTTAGGAAATAAACACCAATATTTCATATTTTCAAAATCCATTTCTACGATATTTATGATTTTAACACGTTGAAAATGCACGTCCACTGATATTTTTTCCGTTCACTTTTCGAGCGAAGAGGAAATTGATGCCTAATTTTCAAACCATAAGGAACAACTGAATTTAATACTTTATTTTTTTGTCTATTTTTATTTGTTTTTAAAATTTTTATAATGTTTTAAGAAATAAAAATTGTCTATATTGACTAAATCAATTTTGCTTTTTCTCTAAAAAAAAAAATTTTGATGTTTAAAAAAGAAAATAAAACAAACTAAAAAAGGAAATAAAAAAATCCCTCTTATAAAAAAAGAAAACTTAGTTGTATTGCACTAATAAGGTTCTTTTCAAGATGTTCAAAAAATTTACACAGAGTATTTTTTAGATGTTCCAAAAAGATTATTCTTTTTAATTTTAAAACACCAAGGTTCAAATGACATTGAACCTTAATGTCATAGGATGACCCGGGGCCGCTCCGGTGCCCCGTTCGTAAAATTGACGGTTTCTACCCCCCCTAACCCTCTCGGTAAACCCCCCACCCCGGCCCCGACCCGAACACGCCCCCCACCCCTTCAATTGCACCCCACAAGTTGATTTTGACTTTGAAGATTCCAAAGTTAAAATCAACTTGTGGGGTGCAATTGAAGGGGGTGGGGGGGCGTGTTCGGGTCGGGGCTGGGGTGGGGGGTTTACCGGGGGGTTAGGGGGGTAGGAACCGTCAATTTTACGAACAGGGCACCGGAGCGGCCCCGGGTCATCACATTAAGGTTCAATGTCATTTGAACCTTCAAAAGTTTATTTTTTAAAATGATTTCAATATGTTAAGCGTCGGTCCAAAATTAATATCCTTATTATTCTTGTGGGTCTTCCAAAAAGAATACTATCCAAAAAATGAAAATTTGATGATTTTTTAAAATTTTAAAATATTATAAAATATAATTTTAAAAAATAGATTTCAAAAAAGATAATGAACCCTACCACTCTTTGTAATTTGGGAAATAGGCATCAACAATCTCCCTTTTGCCGTGAAAATGAAAGGAAAATGGAGTTTTAGAAAAATGTTATGAAAGCGGAAGTATTAATGCTTACGGAGTACTACGTTCTAAACCGATGTGCACTAGAGCTATTTGGGCGTTCAAAAAACAACAAGCACGTTACTCATGTTCCAATTAGTCCAAACTACCTACACCAAAATTAATTTGAAATTTGGCAAATTCTATGAAAAAAGATTACAATAGGAGTTAAACATTGGAATTATAATAAAATGGGAGTTTCATGCATGCTTTTATTTTCAAAATAAAAATTAAAATGCATATATAATCATAGTTTTAAAAACCGGACCAGTGAATCGGCAAACCGGTGGCCCAACCGGTCCGGTCCAGCCCATTAGACCGTAACCTGCTTTGAACCGGCCCGAACCGGTTTAAACCGGTAAGAACCGGCCAGTCGGACCGGGCCGCCTAATTTTTTTTTCCTGATTTTTTCCGAAACATGCCACCATTAGGTTTGAACCCAAGACCTCTTGACAACTGATTGAGCTCCTAACCATCCAAGCAATGGTACTTTTTGTTACATGTTCACATAATCTCTTATAATATTTCATAATTACAAAAAAGATTGTATATAAATTCCTTTTCAATTTTATAAATATAATACTATATAGTTATGAGTCAAACACAAAATCATTGATATTATTGATACTATTACAACATGCAAATCATGCAAAGATTTCGTTTTTTTATTATTAAACAACTTATTTAAAAAAAATAAAATCAACTCTTCATTTAAAATTCTTTTATATTTTTTAATATGTAAATTTTATTTTTTAATTTTATAAAATAACTCAAGTATATTAATATAATAATACTTAAATGTTATAAATTACTTTCTTTAAATATTTATAAATGAGAATGTGTGTGTCTATATGTATGTGTGTGTGTAAATATATATACATACACACACACACACACATATATATATTTATTTTTATTTATATAATTTTTAAATATGTTTAAACCACCGGTTCGACCAGTTGAACCACTAGTTCGACCAGTAAACTAGTGAACCAATAACTTGATCGGTTCAGTCATCGGTCCAGTTCTGAAAACTATGTATATAATGCTGATCATGACCATATACATTACCAAAAAGTATTGTGAACTGTCCATTTGTAATGTTACATTAGCAGTTTAGCACAGTGTAAACTTTTCTTTTAGAGAAATAAAACATAAAACTCCTATTTTGATATTTTTATATTTTAATCTTATTTAGGGTGGTTCCTAAATTTTATCGTGGACTTTAAGTGCATCGTGCACATATAGTTGGGGATAATAAACAAGTACACACTATCTAGCTTTATTTTTAGGAGTTAAAATTGTAAAATTTTTATTAAATAAAATTTATACTCTCTCTGTCCCGATTTAGATTGCCTGTTTCGATTTACGATGTTTGACTGAAACTATTTTCAAACCATTTTATATGACAACTGTGTAGAGTTAAAAAAATAAAAATTACATATTAAAATACAACATCAAAAGATCTACAAAACTTATAGTGACAATAGTATTTTATTTTATCAAATTGCTAACGAAAATAGATAAAGAAAGTGAATGAAGTTTGACCATGTGAATAGTGATTAGTGAACATGCATTATAAATTAGGACGGAGAAAGTATTAAATATTGATATAAAATTAACTTTATTGGATTTATTTTGTAATGTTAAAATATTAGAATAATAGTATTGCTCATTGAATTTGAAATACATGATAAAATATATATATGAGACACTCCTAACACAACTAGAAATAGAGAATAGAAACTAACTAACATTATTATTAACTAACATTCCCCTCAAGCTAAACTCTAGCTGAAACAATAAGAAGCTTAGACACTAGCTGGAAACTGGAAACTTTGTGAAGAGAGAAGTCTAACATGCGCCAGTGGCTGCTGATGTCGTTTGAGAAGAGAGAAAGGATTGACGTTGGCTTATAGTTGCTGATGTCAAAGAAGAACATAGAAGGCTGTTGGAGGTGCCTCTTCGATTTAAGATCATTAATTAACATTCTTTGTCTTTCTTTTAGATCGAGGCAATGTCATGTTTCTCTTCTCAGTTATGAGAATTTGTATGACTTTTTTTGGAGGGGTGAGTTGTAAAGGTATTCTTTCCTCTATTTTCTCTGTTGGTTTTGCTTTTGTTTATATTTCCTTTAGATTTTATTGGTTCAACAGAAAAAACAGAGAAGGGAGATTGATTATTAGAATGAGTGATTTGAGAGAGAGAAGAAGTGGATTAAGAATTGTTGATGGAGAAGAGATCTTGGTATGAGACTCTGATATGGTAAATTGGAGAGGAACAACTATCATTTTTTTCCTTAATTTTGAGAAGATATGAAGATGAGTTGAGAGAGTTTTTGAAGAGTTGTCAATCCAAAGAATTGAAGAAAGAACATCGGCCTGGCGGGCGGCTAATGGCGGCGTCGCCCGCCATGAACGAACACAGAGAATTTTAGGTCACCAATAGTGGTGACTCCGATACCATGCTGAAATATTGGAATAATAGTATCACTCATTAAATTATGAAATACATAATAGAGTATATATAGAAGATACTCCTAGCCCAACTAGAAATAGAAAATAGAAATAAACTAAAATATTTCATCTACCATAAATAGGAATAGGAAGCTTACTAATAATTGAACACTACCATAACTGAAACTATTATTATTATTATTATTATTATTATTATTATTATTATTATTATTATTATTATTATTATTATTATTATTATTATTATCCAACACATAACCCTCCACATGCAATGTTTCATGTTTCAAAAATTCATAAGTAGTCCTTTAAGTATTCATCAACTCTCTAAATGTAATATTTTTTACCGTACACGTTAAAAAGATAAATGGATAACTACTTCCATATATATTATACTTCCTCTGTCCATGTAAGATCTTCTCATTACGCGTTACGAGGCTTGACCGACTTTATTTTCATTTCAATTTAATTGATTATAGGAGTAAAATTTTAAAATAAAATTTATATAGTAATAAACTACATGAAATGTTCTACAAAACTAGAGGTGACAAGACTATATTATTTTATGATATGACTACTAAAAATGAGCAAACAAAGTGAGTAAAGTTTGACCCTGTGAATAGTGTCTGGGAAGATCTATGGTGGACAGAGGAAGTACAAAGTACTTGTATCTATATGTAGGTGATTATTTTTTACGTATAGAGAATTAATGGATTTTCAGAACTTCAATCAAAGTTTATTATTCTTTACTATACAAATTAAACCCTTTTGAAAGTAAAATTATCTCCAACATTTACTATGGGAGGAAAAGACCCATTGCGACAGGGGCGGATGCACTTGGAAATAATTGGAGGCTAATGCCCCCAACTAAATTTTGGTGTTAAATTAATTCTTTTTTTTAAAAAAATAAATTCTTATGATTTGGGGTGCATGCCCCCATCTAAAATTGGGATTGATCCCATCTTAAATTATTTACTCCCTACAAAAATGAATGAAACCTAATTTAATTAAACTAGTTTTTAATTCTTTTGTTTAATTTTATTGAAGTAAAGTGTATTTTATTACATTTAATTTATTGTTTACAATAAAATTTTATATTACCGATTAAATAAAATTTTACATTCAATAAATGTTTAAAATAAAATTTATTATTTTTATCATTTCAAATTCTCTATTTTTTTAAAAAAAAATCAGGGGCGCTACCCCAACCATTTGTGCCCCCATCTACCTGAATTTCTGGAATCCGCCACTGCATTGCGATGCGCTTCTCAGAGGACGAGGCCAATGCTAGGCACCCATTGCACGTCGGATTTGCATCTGGTACTGAGGCGGAAGTTATATATAATGAGTTAGTTACATTTGGCGCCCATTGTAGGTCAAAAGTTATATATATGGAGCTAGTGCTTCATTTAGCTTTTAACATGTATCGTAAAAAAGACTGTATTTGGAAGGTTGATGAATAAATGAAAGACTACTTATGAATTTTTGAAACTTGAAGGACTAAATTTGGAGGTTGTTGAATACTTGAAGTACTAGTTATGAATTTTTGAAACTTGAAAGACCAATGTTGGATTTTAGTTTTTCATCTTACCACATGTGCCCCGTACGATGTCTCGTTTTTAAAATTGACAGTCGGTAGTAATTCCCTTCATTTGCCTCGACCCGAACCACACTATAGCCCCATCAATTCTGCACTCAAATTTTTTTGTGTTTGATAGGCTTGAAATTACGAATAGATTCAATGAGAGTGCATGGTAATCTCTCAACCCACAAGACACATAACTTTGTGTTTAGTAAGATTGATTTACTATTTAAAAGGGAATGTGGTGCAGTTTTTTACTTGTTTATATGTAACTTCTTTGTAATTGGTTATTTTGGTACTAAGTTCATAAGAGAAAAAAGTAAACAAATGTAAAAAAAAAACTTTAAAAATTGTGAAATTAATTTCGTTAAGAAGAAATATGTATAAAATTGATACAAAAAAACAGAAAGAAATTGTGATTTATAAAAAAAGAAAACAGAAGAGTGAAATTAGTCCTCAATAAGAAATAATTACCAACATGATCGTTTGTAATTGAGATTTACTCCTTCCGTCCCACTATATTTGTCCACTTTCATTTTTACACATCATCCAATGCACTTCTTTAATCTATTTTATATTGTAATTTGTATATTAAAAAATTATAGAAATTATATATTAATAATCTATATGTTAAGACAAATCAAACAAGATCACACATGACTATATTTAGGCTTACACATTGAGAGAATTTGATGAGTCAAAGTGCTTAGATGAATAGTTCCAAAAGTCAAAAGTGGACAAAAACAGGGGGACGGAGGGAGTATTACCTAAATAGTCTTACGCCAAAAATGTCAATAAAGTAGAGGTTATTTTTGTATTTAAAATCATCTAGACTTAAAGAATATATTCTAGAAATGCTCATTTATAATTAAATATATTTTTCCAAACTGATAATTTCTAAATGAATGTTTCCCTGAAATTGAGTCCATGAGCCTACTTGGGGTGGTTTGTTCTTCAAAAAGTTACTAACTTAATTTGAAAAGATCATTTTGAGAACTTATTCATACTTAGATTATGGAAAATACAAAAATACCCTTCATTTAACTATCTTTCAATATACATTCTTGACAGATGAGTGTTTAGGAAATATATCTCAATTACAAAGGATTATATTGATAATTATTGCTTATTGAAAACTAGTTTAAGAAAAAGTGTTGCTAAATCCACCCCATAATGGCTATATTCACACCTTTTACCAATATTTGCTATATCCACGAAAAATACTTTATTTAAAAGAACCCTTTTAGAAAATTTACTCAAAACACAAAGAAAGTGTGAATATTATAGACCACGTGGGGAAAAGGAAGGAGAGATTGAGTAGTTAGAAGTTATAACCTGAGATGCAAGTAGAAGAGATGCCATGGGCCATGAATGAATTGAGTTGTTGCAAATGGGCCCAAAGTGGCCACATCAATCGGTTAAGCAACGGGTTCACGTGGTGATTTTAAAAGGCCGAGCCCACATTTCCCCCCCTTTTGGAAACGCTCCCTTTGATCATCCACTCCGTGAGACACTCCACATTTTTTTTTTCCCCCCTCTTCTATTTAATTTCTTTTCTTTTTCTTTTGATGAATTATTATGTTTTTCAAGTTGGGACAGATTAATTCTATGTTTTTAAAACCCAACTCCAAAAACTTTAGAGAAGGGAGATATGAAAACTTTTGTTTCTCATGTGCATGCATAACCTGAATACGCAAGAGTCATCTCAATTTAATTGGTCAACTCTTCATACTAATTGGTCAACATTTGATTGGTTTTTATTTGTTATTCTCTTCTCAATCACTTTTCCAATATATATGCACTTCAGGTTCCCACTTACTTTAAACTCTCACTCACACTACCGTAAAAATGTGACATTGACAATTCGACCAGAGAGCAAATTCAAGGACTAGAGATTCATTTGTGGAAAAACTCTCAGATAAGTGGTGATTCTGTACACCCAAAGTCCACACCACTGTTAGGTTTAGAAACTAATGTGTGAAAAGACTTGTTTCACCCAAGGTAATGTGCTTATTGCTAATCATAATCTTAATTCTAAGTCATACCTTAATTCTAATACTAATACTGAGAAATCTACATCAGCAGAGTCCATGTAATTTGGAGAAAAGGGCACCGTTTACCCCCAAACACTTTAAAAATTACATGGTTTACCTCTTAACATTAAGAAATGCACCGTTTACCTTCGAATTCTTCAAAAATTACATAATTTACCCCTGAACATTAAAAAGTGAACCAAATACCCCTGAATAATTTAAAGCGTTGCACCGTTGGTCTTAAAATGCTAGATAGAGAGTGTTGCTCCCATGCACGGAAATTTCGAGTATGATTCTGGGCCTTGTGAATTGTCCAAAATATCTTTCCCCAAAATTATCATCTTTATTTAAATGTCCGGGGGTAAGCCGTGCAATTTTTGAAGAGTTCGGGAGTATTTGGTGCATTTTTTAATGTTCACGGGTAAATCGTACAATTTTAGAAAAACGCAGGGGTATTTAATGCACTTTTTAATGTTCAAGGGTAAATTATGCAATTTTTAAAAAAATTAGGGGTAAACGGTGCATTTTTCTCATATAATTTGAATAAATCTGAAAATTATAGGAGTATTTTTCCTAAGACTTCTAATCATAAATTTTAAATTTTGGTTAAACTAGTTCTTTTACAATATTAGACAAAGATAGATAAGGACTTAGGCCGTTGAAAGACCATTGAAGTGGTTAAACCAAATCAATCATACAAAGCATTCAAACTTGTCCATCATTCTTTTCCAGAACCTACGTTGAAATTTTGGCTGCTGTTTTGATACGTTGAGACTTTTTCTTTTTTTTTTGGGAATATGAATCTTGGTTTGAACGGAAGGTGTTCATGTATCAACTTGTGAGTTGTGACATTATTTGTCAACAAAAAATAAGCATTCCGTCCACCTCCGAATTACACTTCAAACGAATTTTTTTAAAAAATAAAAAATGTTACTCCCTCTTTTATTTTTTAAACGTACTCTTTCATTTTTTTTATTTTTTTGGTAAAATACTTTTACATTTGAATAGAAGAATTAATATATCCAAATAAAATCATTACAATATGCTCTCTATTAATCCTGTTATTGATATAATAAGTATTTAAATAATTTCTCTTTTTTATTCTTCGACGCTAAAAATATATAATAAGAAAATCAAATTACCAAAATAAATTTGTCACAAATCAAAATAAGAACTGTTTTAAAAGAAAGTGAAGTGTGGCGAGCGGCATTCATTTTCTCAATAAGAAATTAAAGGAGTATGCTGCATGTACTCAAAAATTGTATCCTATTTGTATTTTGTACACCAAAAGTATGCACAAACATTTTGATAATTCACACTGATACAAAGTGTTGGTGTGATAATAAAAAATTCACATTATCCAACACAAAATGTTGGTGCGTCCCTGCAGTGTATAAAATGAGGTACAAATAACTTTATCCAATAAAGAATTGTAAGTTTTATATAGAGATGAAAAAAATTGTTGTTTTTATTTTTGAAAACACAAAGAATGTACGGAGTAATATAAATAATTAACTTTTAAGTTGAAATTGAAATTGAAATTGAAATGACAAAACCATATCATGCGTCACAGTCTTTCCTCTAGTTGACCCCATGATCTGATGAAGGTTAAACCCAATGGGGCATTATGCTACTACAAGATTTCACATCGAAAAATCACCCGAACCGGTTCAGTTCGGTTCGACTCAACCACGGTTTGGTTGCCAAGCCGAAGCCGCCACCAGCGGCCGGCTGTGCCACCCCAGCGTTAAACACCCATCTCTCTCTTCCACATTGTACCCTTCAGACGAGAATAGAGTCAGTAACATGCTGGCTTGCTTGAAGGCATTGGATCCAAGATTGAAAGCCCGGAAACCGGCTTGGGCGAGCCGGTCCTTCCACATGCCCAACGGCTCATGTCTCTCCACCCGGCCCACGCCCTCGCAACAAACCACATTGCAAATCTCTCTCTGTATGTGCATCTCGGCTAATGCCTTGTCCGGTTCGGCCGGGCAAGCTTCGAGCGAGTCGAACATGGTCGAGTAGTAGTACAAAGCTTCCGTGAAGCGGTCGAGAAACTCGGGCCGATTGTGGTTCGCCTCCTGCTCGACCACGGTCACGACTCTCGGGTTCAAGCTCTTGACCCACCCGAGCACGGCATTGATGGGCCGCCCGCGGATCGGATCCGGAACGAGCAATTTGTGGAGTTGCATGATGGAGTTCACGGCCACGGCTTCATTGGGGCCCACTTGCAGCATCCAAGGCTTGACATCGTCAATCCGTGAAGCTGCGACCCCGCGGAAGGCAAACCGGACGTTAACGGACCGGGCCAATTCGGCTAATTTGAGACCGATTTCGCGTAACGAATCCCGACCGTCCGGAGAGGGAGGCCCGATTCCGGTTAGCCGGAGGAGCGGCGGCCCGCCGGGCCGTAAAGCCAGAGCCTGGATGAACGCCAGCCATTGCAGGCCGTGCATCAGGTTGAAGTCGATGACGTGGACGCAATCGTGGCCGTTGAATGCCTCCAGTATGGCTTGATTGGCCGTGAAGTGGGCGAATTTCAAATACGGGGCGGCTTCGTAGAAATGGGAATAGAAAATCTCGTCCTCGATGGCCGATCCCGCCGGGACGATCCCCTGCGGCGGCGCGTAGAGTCTTCTGCTCAGGGCGTCGNGCCATTGCAGGCCGTGCATCAGGTTGAAGTCGATGACGTGGACGCAATCGTGGCCGTTGAATGCCTCCAGTATGGCTTGATTGGCCGTGAAGTGGGCGAATTTCAAATACGGGGCGGCTTCGTAGAAATGGGAATAGAAAATCTCGTCCTCGATGGCCGATCCCGCCGGGACGATCCCCTGCGGCGGCGCGTAGAGTCTTCTGCTCAGGGCGTCGATGAAGTAGCCGGCGACTTTGCCGATGCCGCTGCCGGAATCGACACGTGTCAGGAGGAGCTGAAGTTCGTCGATCAAGGATCCGGCCAATGAAAACTCGCCACGGTGGAATGAGGCGGCGCACGTCATCAGCGCATGCACCAGCCTGATGCCGGAATCTTCCTGCTCCGCCGCGGCGGTCAGATGGGGCGGAATAATCCGGTGGTTGTTCACCGGGCCACATTGGGCCCACCCGATGGGGCCCGAATTGACGAAATCGGGATCCAGTGGGGCGGCGGAGAACTCGGGCGGGTTGAGCTCAGAAATTAACGAGTCGACCCAGGACCCAAGGTCAGAAGGGTTGTGGTGAACGACGTCGTTTGCGAGATGGTGAGAGATCTCGGAGCCCATGGGACTGCTGACCATGAAACTCTCGAGATGCTCGAGGCGGAAAGCCACGGTGCCGAGTTGGGAAGAGCGGACGGCGTAGCCGGCGCCGGCGAGAAGGGAGTCGATCTGGTCGGCGGAAGCGGCGGAGCAGGAGGAACTGCCGCTGCCGCTGGCGGTAGAGGACGAGTCATGTGGGGGACTCATTGTCATGGCATGAATTTTAAAAATCGAAAACTTCGGGATTCCCGAAATCAAAGCTGGCTATGGCATTTCAGAATTTAAAGAGAAATTTGTGAAATAAACGTAGTACTCCGTATGTACGGAGTAGTAATTAAATTATGGCGACAATGAAAGGGAGAGAGATAGATATAGGGGTGGGCATTCAGGTCCAGGAACCGCAGGTCGAAACCGAACCGCCAGGTTCGGGCTGAGTTAGGTCCAGGTCGTCTTTTCTAAAATTTAAAACGGTCCGGGTCGGTCCGGTTCCTATAGATTTTAGGGTCGGTCCGATTCCTCATTTTGAAATTGTTTGGGACCCGGACTGGACCGTTTTTTAAATACTAATATTATTTTTAATATTTTTTTAGTAAATATACGGTATATCCACCTATTCCAATTAATTTTAGTAACTCTTTCGATCCTTCCATATTCCAATCGCAGTGCAGAACCGCAGAAGTGCATATAAGTCATGTTCAATAAATGAAGCTAATTTCCACTGAATTAGAAAAAAGTGTATTATTGAATCAAAAGTCATATGCATATTTTTGTGTGTGGAAAATGGTTAATTTTAAAATTTTGTTGTTTGCAAGTTTTTTGGATTTTTTGGAAGCCATGCAAATTGTCAATTTTGCTCTTTTTGAAACCTATTGACATTATAATGCCAAAATGTGGTTGTCTTCTTTTTGTTGTTGTTGTTGGATGATCATGAGGTGTACACTTTACTCTCATACCCCTCTTTGTCATTGTTTTTTTCATTTATTCCTCTTTTTTGAACTTTGAAGGCATTATTCTATAATTTCTATTTATTTTGAAGAATATTAGTATTATGATAGGTTCGGACCAGTTGATCCGTGGAATCGGCCTGTTTAAAACAAGCCGGGTTAGGTCCGGTTCCAATTTTAAAATTTTGAAAACTCATTCCGGCCAGGACCATTTTAATAAAAACAAGCCGAGTCCGGTTTATTTAAATTTGGACTCGGACCGACCCGTGCCCACCTCTAGATAGATAGAGAGAGGAGAGAGAAGGGTTGAAGAATTAAAGGGGAATCGATAGATGCCCACGAGGGAGAAAATAGAAACAAAAAAAAAGAAAATTTGAAATGCCACACTCCCTAATTTACTCCGTATTTCTCCGTACTTCTCTAAAAAAGAAGATGTCCCTCGGTCCTACATTCCGACTCTCTAATTTACTCCGTATTTCTCTAATTTTTAGATTAATTTTGATTTTAAATTAAATACTCTCTCCATCCCTTATTGGACGTTACATTAGAACAATAAGTACAATTTTAGCATTTTTTAAATTATTTCAATTACTAATTAGTATAGAAACAAAACGGATAAATTATACTACCAGCGTTCAAAGTATTTGTTCAATTTTGACTTTTTTCGATCAATTATTTTCAATATTTGATCTATAATTAAATAAAATATGTACTGTATATTAAATAGATAAAATAATATTTTGAAAATATTTTTATATAATAAATATAATAAAATTATTTTTATATCAATATTTAATATATTTTGATTTTTTTGGGGTCGAAATAAGAATATTAATTTTATCAAATTATTATTAATAAAATATACATACAAACAAAAGTTAAAAGGACCATAATATTGACAGTGGATCCATTTTAGGACCGAGAGAGTATTATTTTAGATACTCCGTAAAATATTGACAGAGGAGAACCATAATATTGAAAGCGGATCTTCTCCCTTTTTTCCCGAGCATTTTTAGGTTCTTTTTTCTTCCCTTTCCTTTTTATTGCTTTCCTTCTCTTTCCTTTTTCCTTTTTTCATGCGTTTCCCTTTCCATTTTGTTTCAGTTTTTTTTCATTTCTCCGTTTTTTTGGCATTTCTTTTTTTTATTTTTTATTTTTGTTTCTTTTAGTTTTTAATATTTATACATTTTTTAAATCTTTTTACAATTTCTAAGTTCCTTAATTTCTTTCTCTTTTAATTAAAATTAAATGTAGAACTTTTAATGAATCACTTTAAATTAATAATGTAATTTAAAGTAAAAGCAAGATTACTATCACTATGCAATAGAATACCTTGACCGGGATGTCCCTTAAGATAGCGCAGGACACGAAAGGCTGTGTTCCAATGGTCAAGACGTGGTGCCTGCATAAATTGAGAAAGTGTATGGACCGCATAACAAATTTCAGGGCGAGTAATAGTTAAGTAAAGTAAACGGCCCACAAGACGATGATACTTGAGGGGATCTTGAATCTCAAAAATATTCGAACAAGTCAAAGCATGATTGACTGGTAATGGAGTATCAACAGGCTTACAACCATCGAGATTAGCTTCGTGATGCCAAGAGCATACTTCTGTTGATTAAGAACCATACCATCACGGGAACGAGCACACTCAATCTCCAAAAAATAGGAGACGGGGCCAAGGTATTTAAGATTGAAACAGTCATCCAAAAATTTCTTGAAAGAGGAACACAATAAACTGTTGTTACTGGCCATTAGAATATCATCAACATAAACAAGGACAAGCAGCATGTCTAGGCCACGTCGTAGAACAAAGAGTGTATGATCTGCATGTGCTTGTCAAAAACCATAACGCCGTAGAGCAATACTGAGTTTAGTGAATCAATTACGAGGAGATTGACAAAACCCATATAAGGATTTACAAAGACGACAAACCTTTCTCGGGAATCTCGGGAAATAAATGGGTATATGTTGAAGATTTGTCTTGCGGTCCAAAACAAATTAAAAATTTATAAAATGTCCTTAGCTAACCCCCAAGATATAATCAAATTAAAAACTATAGCTAGGGCAAGTAAGTGTCGATCCTACGGAGAAAGTTTGTACTTTTGAAATCAAATTAGCATGCACACACATTGTCACTAAATAAAACAAACTACTTCACATATGATAACACTTATAAAACTTTTAATTAAACTTATAACTAAATAAATATAAAACTTATAAATATAACTTATATAAACATATAACACATACTTAGAATATACTAGAAAAAGTATAAAAACTTATATTTATAACTTAAAACACAAAGGGGGGGCTGAATTAAAAGTAAATATTTTTTTGATTTTAAATTTTCTTAGTTTTTTTGGCTTTTTTGATAAAATAGGGAAAACGGGCTCTAAAGATAATCAACTTCTCCAACAAAAGTAACCCAAAACACCACCAAGAACCCGAAACAAAATAAAAAAAGAACAAACACAAGTCGAACATTACACGTATTATAGGCACGTAGACAATATATTACGTAATTACGCACTTAAGAATAGAAAAAATCAATCAAAGGCCGAGTCGATTCATTTCCTTAACCACGATATGGAGGATTGTCAACTCTCCACACGGCCCGAAGTCATGCAATTCAAAGGCCCGTTTTGAAGTATACCTTAGAACCCCAACTCTCTATTCAAGCATGCGAACATATTTCCACTATAGAAAATATTTATAAAAGAGAGTATCTATTATGCATTCAACTCGCATACATAATCTATTCACAAACCGCCAATACCTTATGCATTTTAATAAACTTTTTCTCCTAATGATGAGCACATTTCACAGATTTTCACGAACTTCTCAAACCAATGACGTTTTTTCAATTCACGTAGATAAACACAACATATTTTCAATAAATCAAGAATTGTTTTTGACCTTAAACAACCTCAACTTAAAAAAAACAATGAATAATCTAGCACACAAAAGCATAACAAAATCACTTTATAACGAATTCTAAGAAGAATGAATCATCTTAATTATGGGGCAAGAAGCCCAATATTCTTAAAATTAACAAACACAAGACACAAAAAAGACTCACGTATGAATTCAGAGTTTATTTAACTACCTTATGGAGCTAAAATAGCTTCAACAAAAACCGAATTCCACATGCCAACTTACTTATGAAATCAAATTATACAATTCAACCATTTCAACAACTTGCTCAATAATTGAAGAAAAACTAGTTTGAATCAATTCTCATTCATAAGGGATTTAATATAAACATTACAAAAAAACACCCATAAAAGAACACCAACCATTTTTTTGGAATTTTTGGAACAAACTAACAAAAAAATGTAAAATTGAATTAAAAACAAACTTTTACATAGAATTGGAGGAAGAGAATAAAAATTGACAAATAAGGGTTACCACTTGTTTAAGAAGATGAAGAAAATGAAGAATTGAAGCTCTTGGAACCATCACTTGCCTCTACCCGGAGCAACTACCGTCCTGGACCTATTCAAGTTGAAGCACGTGAGAAGCTTCAACATGAATAGGCATGCACTATAATAACCATAGTTTTAAAAACCGGACCGGACCGGCCGGTTCGGACCGAAAATCGGCGAATCGGACACCAAACCGGTCCGGTCCGGGCATGAAGACCGCCTTTGACTATGAACCGGTGGGAACCGGTTAAAACCATGGAAAACCGGCCGGTTTTACCGGCGGTTCCGGTTTTCCAATTCTTTTATATGAGAAGAATATTAAAAACGCAATTCCAAGGGTTCGAACACAGAACTACATGGCAGGGAAGAGCTTCTCCAAACCATCTCTGCTACGTTTCTTGGTGGGAACTTTCTACTACTCAATTTATATATTCTTTATCCAAATTTTTTATCAAATACTTTTTAAGTATGTATAGTTTTTTTTTTTACTAAAATTCAAAATCCATTGAGGTAATTGATATGGATTGCATATCACACAAATAAAATGTATATATTTTTAAATACTAGATAAAATGTTTAAAAAAATTCAAATCACTTTTTATTTCTAAGATTTTTAAAAAGTAAATTTTATTTTTTATTTAATGAAACAACTCAAGTAAATTAAGTTAAACTTTAAGTTTAGTAAAACATCAATTCTTTATTTATAAATAGAGGAAATATTATTTTATTAATCATGTATCAGTTTATATATAGATATATATATATATATATATATATATATATACATATACATACATATATATATATATATATATATATATATATATATATATAAAATCTATTTATTAAAAATGTTTGAACCACCGGTTCAACCACTCGAACCACTGGTTCGACCAGTGAACCAGTGCCTTGACCGGTTCGATCACCGGTTCGGTTCTGAAAACTATGATAATAACACAGCAGAACACTGTGTGATTAGTTTTTCCAAAACCTAGGGACTGGAGAAATTTTAGCAAACTTTAACAAATTAAACTAAACTCAACACCATTAACAACATATTAGAGAATATAAATATGAAAATAAGCATCAAAGTACAGGAGGCACAGAATATATCACAGACTATGGACAACAAACTAAATGCAGCACAGGTATAAATATGAAAATAGGGAGAACAAATCATACAAATCTGAACAATTCACTTTTAGAATATCTGCAGCGCTTATCATTCACTATATCACTACATTAAACACAAATGTGTTTCTGTATTTTTATACAAATTGACGGCAAATAAACCGACAATATTTTCTATAGAAATAACATTTAAGTAGAACAAAAACATAAACTTTTTATAAATGGTAGCAGAGACTATACTCCGGGGGCGTGGGGGTCGTTAGAGGTTCAATATGAAGCCTATGTTGGTCATTCCCCTTTACTTTTCTCAAGTCACAACAAGTTTAAGTAAAGGGCACTAGAGCGTATACTCTTATGTGTTTCTTTCTGTTAAGATGCATAAGTTGTAAAGCTTTGATCAATGAAATGGAAGCTATTCTATAACATAGTGTACTATTTTATAAGGTCTCTTTAACCAATATGTTGGGTCTGTTTAACCAAACATGTACTATTCTGTTTAACCAATATTTAACCAAAACTATTGGGTCTGTTTAACCAAAAATATTGGGTCTATTTTATAAATATTTTTAACCTAATTCTGAATTTTCAGCTTTTCAAGGGGAGAAAACAATTTGTTTGCTTTATCCAAATTTTGAACAATTCACTTTTAGTATATCTGCATTGATTATCATTCACTATATCAATACATTCAACACAAATGTGATTCTCTTTTTTTTATACAAATTGATGGTAAAGAAACAGACAATATTTTCTATAGAAGAAACATTTAAGTAGAATGAGAACATAATCTTTTATAAATGGTACCAGAGACTATACTCTGGGGGGGGGGGGTTTGTTTTCTGAAAACAATATTTTTAACCAAATTGCATAAATAGTACTCCCTCTGTCCAAAAAAGGTCGTTACGTTACATTTTTTGCGCATTCCTTAAAATACTTTTATATCGTCTCAAATGCCAAAAAAACTTTCAAAATAATTTATCTTATAATAAAGAGTAAATATGATAAATTTTAGAATTTTTAGATGTGAGTAGCATTGCTTTTTGTGATGCGCAAAGAAATGAAATGTAACGATCTTTTTGGGACGGAGGGAGTATAGCATAAAGTACTATTCTATATGGTCTGTTTAACCAATATGTTGAATCTGTTTAACCAAACTTGTACTCCCTCCGTCCTAAAATTAACTTCTCATTTGATTTTTCACGGTCTCCAATGCGACACTTTGAACATCAATATCTCAATTTTTATATAAATATATTTTATAAAAATTATATATTTCAAAATTATATTCCAAAATTATATTCCAAAATGAATCTATTGCTAATAAATTTATATGAAAATTGAATGTATTTTTTCTTTAATATACGGTCAAAGTTTAAATTGTTTAACTGGAAAAATCAAAATGGGAAGTTAATTTTAGGACAGAGGGAGTACTATTCCTTTTGACCAATGTTTAACCAAAAATATTGGGTCTGTTTAACCAATGTTTAACCAAAAAAATTGGGTCTGCTTTACCAATATATATTTTTAACCTAATTATGAATTTTAAGGTTTTCAAGGGAAAAAAATTGTTTGCTTTCCACATAAACTTATATGCAAACAATATTCTTTCACATCATAGTCACCAATATCTAAACAATCGTTAAAAAAAATATAATCATCCACCATAACCAAGTGAACATGAATTGGATCAGAACGATACTACACTAAAATTAAGTTTGAAATTATGACTATCCTTCCCATAAAGCATAATTTAAATTTATAAATCAAAATGAAGTACATTATGTTATACTACTTATGCAATTTGGTTAAAAATACTGTTTTTTCCCCTTGAAGAGCTGAAAACAGATCCAAATTAGGGCTTCTTTTGTCCTCATGGATGGAGTAATGTAGGCCAAATTCATATGATGTATGCAGTGATGTATGCAGTAATGTATGCCAAATTCATAATCCCCCGTCCTAAAACTTTCTTCCCAGAGCACTATTCCAACTTCACGGAAATTTATATTTATTTGTGTTTTTTCATGACCTATATGATAAAATAAAATATTCTTGTTACCACTTGTTTTGTTCAACTTTTGATATAGTTTTTAAATATGTATGTGATGGAAAATGTCATTTGGGTCTTCTCGATGAAGTCAAACAAAGTTAGTGGAGGTTAAATCTCCAAAAAAAATGGCGTAAGATACTGGAGTAGGGTGTCCAAACAAGTATAAATTACTGGTGTCATTTTTCTTTGTTGCGCATTACTTTTCCGCTGCCTCGGATTTTGTTTATACTTTGCATTTTGAAAGAAGGTTTCAAATACTCTAATTCCCACACCACCCCCTCCGCCTTAGAGTATAAACTATAAAGGGACTATCAGGGTTTACTCATCTCTATCATTTCAACATCAAGCACGAATTGGTTGGATCAAGATTAATGTGGATGCATCAACAAATCATCGGGAAGTGCAATTATGAGAGACAGAGATGTAAGATTTCTTAGGACCAAAAACTACTCACTTACAGTCACCTTTTGAAGCAGAACTTGAATCAACACATGTTGATATCACTTGGGCTACTACAATCTGGCAGCATGATTTTATTCTTGAAACTGACTGTGAGGAACTACCAAATTGCCTGCAATCAGTTTCCTACTGCTCAAATGCCACCATAGAACTTCTTGAACTCAAGAACACACTCAAGCTCTTCAATGGAAGGAGCAATCACTGCCTCAGAGAAGCCAACTCCACTGCACACTATCTAGCAAGGCACTCTTCCTTGGTCAATAATTTCAATGATTTTTACCATATTTGTTGCTTGCACAGAATGGTTAGGGGCTGCTTGTACAGAGATTAATCCCCCCCCCCCCCCCCACATGTGTAAGACTTCCTTATTTATTACGGTAATAAAATATCCCCTTTTAAGTAAAAACAAAAAAGTAAATAATAAATCATCTATGAACTACAAACCATAAATTGCCTAGTAATTAAATCAAAATAGGTCTAATACTAGTGATTGATGCATGTACGAAGTTCTAATATAATGTGTACAAAAAAGACCCCCAAATAATTTTAGCCTCTACTACAAATAGAAGTCAGTCATACACATCCCCGTGTAGATGGCAATTAAAAGGTTCACGAAAATTTCAGTGGATAAGGCAGCCTCCACATATTGCACATCCAAGTCACTGCCTCCTTCCTTTTCTCTGAAGTGATGAATAACCTTTCGCACATATCTCACCAATTTCAACATAGTAAGATTATTTTCATTTTTACTTGGATCCTCAGCATTTTGGTCCATACACTTTTCAAATATTGTGCCACGTGGGATGGATGATGTCAACCTAGCAAAACTCAAGTTCATTTCAACTTTACCAGTAGTGGATGCCCATAGTAGATTTTGACGCCTTACAGGACTTGACACCATCTGGAAGTAAAGTTGTACAAAGAAGTCTGATCTTTCCCTGCCATCCCAGAGAGCCGGATGATTCCTCAACAAATGCGTTTTCCACTTCAAAGGCTCGGGATATTGAAAGAGCATTTTGTCCAAGCATGACATCTCCGAACTTATCTTCTTCTTCCCTTCCAGTATTTCCCAAAAAATCTTCAAAACACACGTCATGTCCTCTCTCATAGTCATCTTATCCTCAACATTCTTGATTCCACCTATAAGCCTTGTCCTAAAGCGAACAACTTTCGAACCGGCAAAATCATCGACATACTGTCGAATAACAAAATTGTCCATGTCAGACAAATCGCCGTGACAACCGTGCTCCTTGTGGAAATCAATAACAGCAATAATAAGCGACTGGATGATACGCAATGATTCTCTCTTCAAGCGATCACAGCTCCACCCTGGAATTATTTCATCACACTTTGCGTATCTGTCCAGCCACCTATCTTCGGTCTTCTTATGATTTGCTAACCAATCCTTAATAGTAAATTCCTTTGAGTAATAAGGAATGTCATCACCATCATCAAACTTTGGAAAACTTGCAGTATTTGAAGGTACCTCTGTTCCCTCTCTCCCAGCACTAATATCAACTGGCGCTCTCTCTTCCTCATCTTCCTCAACAATATCTTCCAACTCTCTCTCTTCCTCCTCATCTTCCTCAACAATATCTTCCAATTCTCTCTCTTCCTCCTTTCCCTCTTCCTCCTCCTCCTCCTTTCCCTCTTCCTCTTCTCCATGATTCATACCCACTGCCTCATCATCTGCCTCATCACCCATTGTTTCTCTAGAGGCACCAGACTTCTTTTCCTCTCCTTTCTTATTCTTCTTCTTCTTCTTCTTCTTTTGTGAGTCGGTGGAAATAGACATTAATTCCTTCTCCATCATCTCCACAGCAACCTAAATCACAAATTCAAATTTAAATGACATATTAGCAAGAAAGATCATTTTTGTCATGAATTTGAAGGGAAAGGGAACAAACTTAGTAAAAACAAGACTCCAAATCCTTTAACCTTTTTTGAGTCTACAAGCTGCCTGTAAAAATAATTCTCCCACATACGTGGCCTGCATATATGATTAAAAAATAGAGGAGATTACGAGTGTTGCAATACAACCATTGTCACATTACATCAATAACCTAAGGTTATAATTATATACCGATTAACTACAATCTCTGGAGCAATACTGGCAAGTGCTGGTCTCAAATCAGTCTGCACAATGGATAATTAATATTCAATGTTGTAACACTTGAGTACACAATGTGAGTAGTTGAATGATCCAAAAGAAGGATTACCACAAGTCCATTCATGACCTCATTGCCACAGAGCAAACATAATTTGGGCGATATCACCTGAAGTGTGAGCACAAAACTATGTTAATAAATTTAATATTACTAAAAGTAAAATAGCTAGTCTATACACATAAAATAAATAAATGTGATTTAGATTCAAACAACTCGATGTATACATAATATTCTTGTCCAAGAATCATGAAGACTGGAAATTGTAATTTTTCCTAAAAACTCATGCAACTACTTGTAATTTTTCACAAAAGTAGAAGTCTAGGCATAACATCAAAAATGCAAAGTGCTTATTCCAAAGGTATAGTGTTGTAGAGCCTAATTCTAATTCCACATACAATATTGCTATTTGCAAGTTGCAACCAAAATATTAGGGGTTGACTAAGCCCTATGACCTATATGTAGAAGTTATTAGTAACAAAAGTTATAGAAACCTTATGTTTCCCAGAAACAATTGTAAAAAAAACAAAAACAAAAAACTTCCAATTCTAATAAATTCTCAATAGGAAAATAGTACAAAAAAGCATAGTTATTAATGGCGAGTGGCGAGGGGCGGGCGAGAGGACCTTTTTTATGGCAAGAGGCGTGGCGAGAGGCGGGCGGTCAAATGGCAAACATGCATGCATACATACATATACATATACACAGGCACACACACACACATATATATATGTATGCATGTATAAACACATAATATTGATACTATGTATGTATGTGTGTGTATGTATATATATGTATATGTATATATATGTGTATATATATATATATATATATATATATATTATGGAGTAATATATAGCAATAAATATTATGCATTGTATACTAAAGCCTTAAGGCAGTGATTGAGGCGAGAAAGGCGACCGCCTTAGGCGCGCCTTAGGGATGTCGCCTCGCCTGGCTTCCTTGAGGCGCTGAGAGCTCGCCTGGTCGCCTGAGGCGCCATAGGCGAGAGAGGCGAGCGCCTTTAATAACTATGCAAAAAAGTTGACTAAACGGTTTTGGAAATTCACCATTTTCTTAAAAAAAAATCACCTATGGTAGAAGAAACAATAATAAACTAACCCCCAGGTCTAAAATATAGAGCGGTTATAAACTAATGATGATCAAGGCATCCAAATGATTGTAAACTAATGATGATCATGATTGAAAGAAAAAGAAAGAAAGCCTCTGCTACACGATACTTCTTATTGCCGAAAAGATAAATAATAAAAATTCTATATCACAAAATACATACAATAATCATGTGAGTTGCAGATGACACGGCCGTTAAGAAATGTTGCAACAGCCACAGACTCGAGGGGGCGGTCAAGGCATCCATATTAAATCCCAGCTCATCCTGAACCATACACTTAAGTAGTAAGAACCATCAAATTAAAATATCATTTCAATTAGCTAGCATAAAAAACCTCATTTAGAAAATGGAAATGCTCTAACCTCTGGCACCCAAATTATATCAAGGGTGGGTGGCCCCAGGCACTTTTCATTTCTAAGGACAACTAACCGGTAAGAGACCTGTGTTTCTGTTGATGTGTAATCAACTTCCCAGCAGCTTTCATCACTATAAGAACCCAAGCTAGATGCCCTCATCATATATGCTCTACGTGCTTTGTTTTCTTTGGCAATAACAGCACGTAAAGCCTTAGCCTTGGTTTTATGAAGCTTACCAAGCTGAGAATATGGGAAATTCAAAAATTCAACAAATAATAAAAACAGCACAAAAGTTTGAATTAGAAGAGGGCTTTATGGATCCATATCAAGCTTACATTATGACCAGTTAAATAATGCTAATGTATTTATATGGGAAATTCTGCATGGTTCTCTCTTTGGTAACTAATGGAGTTAGAATTCATAATACTCTTAACACTCCTTCAGCTCAAATTATAGAGATCAGAAAACAAATTATAGAGATGAGGTCCTCAAATAAAACTGAGCAACACCCAAATACAATGAACCACTCAAATCGAGGAGCATAAAGAAAGTTGACCAAAGAGTCTACAAGACTCCCCTGAGTCTTCCACAAAATGTTACTGAATGAGTGTGTGTGTGTGAGTCTCCTTGTAAGAACGGGAGTCCCTTGTTTTCCTGAACTCTCCTGAGTTTTTTCACAAAATACCCAAATATAATGAGCCTCAACTTAAATCCTAAGAGAGATCATAAAACAAGTTTGCCAAAGAACATATAATAGGCTTGCTTGTCTTCAGTATAACTGGGAATTAAAACAAATGGATGTTACTACTGCTTTCTTAATGGTGATCTTGACAAAAATATTTATATGCATCAACCTGAAGGACTTGCTGATCCTAAGTTGCCCAATCATGTGTGTTTGTTGAAAAAAGCTTTGAATGGTTATAAAAAATCTCATGGGCAATGGAACACTAAATTTGATATTTGCATGAAAAACTTAGGTTTTAAGAGAAGTAATGTTGATCATTGCTTGTATTTTAAGAACACTTTCTCTATTCCTATTTTTCTTCTCCTCTATGTGGATGATATGCTAATAATTAATCCTAGCTTAAAGTCTATCCAGCATGTTCAAAGTTACCTTTGCAAAAATTTTGACATGAAAGATCTAAGAGATGCTAGAAAAATACTTGGCATGAATATTGTTATGGAGAGAAAGAAATCTAGTCTTGTTTTAAATCAAAATTCCTACATTGACAAGATTTTGAGTAAATTTGCTATGTCTGATGCTAAACCTGTGGATGTTCCTTTAGCTGCTCACTTTGTGTTGAGTAAGGATATGAGCCCTAAAACTAAAGCTGAAATTAATGAAATAAAAAATGTGCCTTATTCAAATGCTATTGGTTCTGTGATGTATCTTATGATTAGCACTAGGCCTGATATTGCTTATATTGTTAGTTGTTTGAGTAGATACATGTCTAATCCTGATATGGCTCATTGGAATCCTCTAAAAAGGCTTTTGAGATACTTGAAATTTACTAGGAATGTTGGTTTAACTTTTTCAAGAAGTGATAAAAGTGTTAGATTAATTGGCTATGTGGATTCTAACTATGCAAACGATAGGGATAATAGAAAATCCACTACTTTCTACGTGTTCACTTTGTGTAGTTCCTGCATTAGTCGGAAGTCTCAACTTCAACACATTGTTGCTTTATCTACTACTGAGGCTGAGTATGTTGCAGCCACAGATCCTTTTAAAGAAGCCATTTGGCTTAAAGGTCTTTTATTTAAAATATGCTTTCTCGATAAGAATGTGGTTTTTTTTTCTGATAGTCGATTTGCCATTCAACTATTCAAAAATCATGTTTTTCATGATAGAACAAAACATATCGATGCTAGATTTATTAGACATAGTTGAAAAGGGCATTGTGGAGAAAATTCCTACGGAGTCTAATCTAGCTGACATGGGTACTAAGTGTTTACCTGTTGAAAAATTTACCTTATGATTGTCACTTTGTTCGGGATGAGTTGGTACGTGGTGTCATTCAGACAAAACATGTCCCTACCAATCAGCAGCTAGCAGATATACACACAAAAGCTCTGGGAAAGTCACGTTTGGAGTCTCTTCTTCCCAAGTTGGGCATTTCGCTACTCCATGCTCCAACTTGAGGGGGGGTGTTAGGAATTAGGAATAAATATAATTAAGCATATTCTGTTTCCTATTCCTGATATATTTCTTTTCCTTGTAGAGTTTGGTTTCCGTGTAGAGTTTGTTTCCTTTCCTGTTTGGAGTTCCCGGTCTGTGGGTTCCTATATATATATTTAGCCTTGTACATCTAACGACGGATAGAGAATATACAGAATTATTTTCCCAATTATTCTAAAACCTATCAATATCCTCAAGAAGTGCAATTACAAGAGATGATGATGGAAGATATCTTGGGGTAAAAACTTTTATCTCACAGTCACCTTTGGAAGCAGCACACTTGAATCGATCAGCACTTGGCGGCAGCACTTGGGCTACAACAATCTGGAAGCAACTTCTTATTCTTGAAACTGACTGTGAGGAACTACACAAGAGCCTGCAATCAAAACAAAAAACTGGAGAATGTAGCACATTCCCCTGTGTTCATGTATACGTGATAAATATCAAGACAATTATCAGTAGGGTGTTGCTATGTCCACACCTTTTGTATTAAATGGACAATTTTGCACTTAAAGTGGCCTTGCATTCTCTCTTTTGATTTTTGAGGTTAAAATTATCAATTTAACATTAATAGAGTGGATATAGCCAAAATGGAGGTGAATATAGCAACAACCTTATCAGTACTAACTTCAAAAAAGGAACGTTTTCNTTCCCCTGTGTTCATGTATACGTGATAAATATCAAGACAATTATCAGTAGGGTGTTGCTATGTCCACACCTTTTGTATTAAATGGACAATTTTGCACTTAAAGTGGCCTTGCATTCTCTCTTTTGATTTTTGAGGTTAAAATTATCAATTTAACATTAATAGAGTGGATATAGCCAAAATGGAGGTGAATATAGCAACAACCTTATCAGTACTAACTTCAAAAAAGGAACGTTTTCGATCTTCATTTTCATTTCCAAATTTGCATGTTTCCCTCATAATATTTTACTTTCTCATTTTTAGATAAGCACTAGAGATACAAACAGAATATGGGCATAAACACTTGCAAAAAAAGAAAACAAATAAGATGCTTTCAGAATGCACAAATTGGACATGACGCCATTGTTCGTGAAAACCACATTCAGTAAAAGCGACATTAGAGGTCAGGATTAGAGAAGACAATACATACAGAGTGTACAGCCAAAAACACAAGGAAAATATCCCTAGCAACTCAACAAAAAATTAATTAAAATTATATTTGTACTCCAAGAATTTGTACCTATTTTCTACATCGCATGAATGAACTAACATTTTGTGTTGGTTCAATGCTAACTTTTGTTAACGTACTAACGCTTTGTGTCAGTTTAAATTTTTATTAACGCATCAACACTTTGTGTAAGTGTGAACCATTAGTTGTTGGTGCACACATTTGATGTACAAATAAGGTACATGTAGCATGCTCCAAAAATTAAAACTTTTTGTTATGATCAGAGTATGATGGGTTTTACTTGGTATACTCTTACACGTCATCATGCATGTATACGGGATTTGTTTTTTGCTCGAGCTATACATGTGAAAATTAATTTTTTAAAACCAGATGATGATGGGGTTTGAACTCGTGAATTCTTAGTCAAAAAAAATTAGATATAATGTAACGAAACTAACTTAAACAAAAGCTCAAAATTGTCTTTGTTGGCCCATGATAGATTTTATATACTCCATCAGAGAGATTCAGATGTAATTGATACTCTCTTTGTACCACAAAATCTTCGATTCTTTACTTCCAATTTCAGATTCTTCAAATTCAATTCATCCTCTTCCAGAAGTTCAAAGGTTTTATAATTCACTCCATTTGGAAATTCACCCAATTTTTAATACACTTATTCAATTTTTAAGACTTTAAATTCACAACTTCCTGTGTTAGATAAGACCCTTTCAGAAGTTGGCCTTTTTTTAGATATTAACTTCTTCTCCTCCTTCGCTAAGCACGTTTATCCTTTTTTAGTGATGGCTAGATGACAATTATTTTGTTGTAGTTCTTTTGTTTTCTCCCAATTTATTCAGTTGTTTCATTTTTAGTGTGTTTAGTGCATGCCACCAATTATTTTGCTAAATAACTTTAATGGATTCCCTTACTCTTGTTCCTGGTATGAAGATAGAAATTGCTCATCTATTTCTTGCTTATTTGACCTACTTTATTTGTTCCCTTATTGTCTCTGGTCTGAAGGTTTATGTGCAATTGCTGGATTTCTTCAACTTTTTGATTCATTTCATCATTAATCTTTACAACCTCGAAATCCCTATGATAAAGTACAAAGAGAAGTAAAGATTGTTAACGCAAATATACAAAGAGAAGTAAAGTATGGTACTCTCTTTGTACCACAAAATCTTTATGATTTTGATTTTAAAGGATAGAAGGAGAGTTTATTTAATGGTCTTATAGTTACTTGGAATGCAGTCTTCTTCTTTTGGCTGACCTTTGCATGTGATAGTTTGGTTAATTATGATTGTGGTAAGTTGGCGGATTTGACGTATGTAGGCCAACACTTATACTCTTGTACTCCATCCGTCCCAAATTATAATGCTTGTTCACTATTCACAGGGTCAAACTTCATTCACTTTCTTTTTCTATTTTCGTTAGCAAATTGATAAAATAAAATATTGTTGTCACTACTAGTTTTGTAGATCTTTTGATGTAGTATTTTGATATATAATTTTTATTTTTTAATTTTATACCATTTTTCATATAAAATGATTTGAAAATAACTTCAGTCAAACATCGTAAACCGAAACGGACGTTATAAAATGGGACGGAGGGAGTAATAGTTTGGATGGCTTCTTCTTATTGTTGACCTTTGCATGTGATAGTTTGGTTAATTATGATTGTGGTAAGTTGGCGGATTTGACGTATATACGCCAACACTTGTACTCTTGTAATAAAAAAAAGTGTGAAATTAATGTAATGTGGTGCTCTCGGTGAATAAAGTAATTGATGAAGTATTAAGGTTCTATTCTTTTCTTTTTCAAAAAAAAAAGTTCTATTCTTTTCATTTAAAATTTTAAAGTTGAATATTAGAAGAAGACAGAAGAAATTTGAAGAAACCAGAAAAAGGTAAAAGAAACTTTTATATATTGGAAAAAATTCGAAGTTAGAAATTGTTGGAAAAAATTAAAGTGGTTAAAAATTATGGAATACTCAATTAAATAATCACTCAAACATGGATATAAAAAACAATTCAACTTTGTCCGTATTTGAGGTGTTATGTAATAAATTTAGATATACTTTAAGGTATAATGTTATTGTATAGTCATTATATGTAAATACATTTTTTAAATTATTGAAAAAAACCGAAAGAATTTAAAAAATAGTGAAAAAAATTAGAAATAACTAGAATTAAAAAGGTTAAAAAGAGTATATGTATATATATATATATATATATATATATAGGATGTATTTTACCCTCCTATAGTCAAAACCCTAAAACGAAGGCGCTCTATGAATCAGAGGACAAGGTTGGCGACCTGAAAGCTGAGATTTCGCAATATACATTCACTGCCGTTAGATTTACGGTATATGGGTTCAATTCTCAAACTTTCTGCTCAATTTTCCATTCTTTAGGGATATGAATAAGTGAAATTCCAGCCTTTTGTGTCTTCAAGAAGAGTTCATTTAGCTCCATTTGCTTAATAAATCTGAGGTAAAATTTGAAATTTATGTTTTAAAAAATCTAAAAAGTATAATTGTTAAATTGTATAATTGAATACGTCTGATTTTTTGCTATCATATCCTTGTTCGGCTACGTTATTGGTATTGCTACGGTGGAACCATGGGAGGAGGGATCTAGGAATATTGCTGGAATGGGCAAGGGAATGTTTATAGTTTATTTAATTGAATGTGGTGGTTTGTATTTTGTTATGAAGTTGATGTTGAAGCTTGAAGGTGCAATTTTGATTTTTCATTTTTAATAAGCCGCTGCATTGTTGTTGAACTTTATGTTATCTTTTTTCGATTTGTTGCTCAAAAGATTTAAAGTTTTAGAACTGATAGGCGGTTACTCTGAAGTGTAGTTATTGTAATACTGAAATAGACCCTGGTTTTAAGTTTTAAATGATATTAGTTGCTGAACCCTGGTTGTATTTGTTAATCTGGGTTATTGAATTGCTTATATATAGACCTTCAGGCCTCAGAATAGCAAAGGTAGACGAACGGATGGCAATGGCATTATCTGAATCACCCATAAAAATCTTCATATTGGTGGAGTATGAGATTAAAGAGATGGCCCATTCCTTGTTTATGATAGACCTACCAACTGACCTGATCCAACAGAAGGTCGACTTGGAGGATGGGTTTGAGGAGATTTCTCCGGTGTGGACCTTCCCCGAGAACAAGTTCTTAAACAACACAGAATTTGTCAAGCTTGGGTCAGAAATATACTTGTTTGGTGGTCGTAGTCTAGGATTAGTTCCAAGCCTTGACCGTCACACGCACCTACAAACTACTGTCCAGGTCCTGGACACCAACAATCCTGAGAAAGGGCTGCAACGTGTCGCCCCAATGAACGCCATCAAGGAAAGAAACTGCGCCTTTGTGGCGGATGGCATGATCTACACACTTGGGGCAGCTGTAGAGAGTTCAGAGTGTGGAATGAGTGGCTGTTTTGAGCGTTATTCACCGCAATTGGACAAGTGGGAGGTCCTCCCCGACCCACCGCTCTCTTTAGAGCTGCTTTCTTGTGCAGACTGGACTAGTCATGCCACTGTGGTGGGTAGGAAGGTCTTCATTGGGAGTCATTGGCATGATTTGTATCTCATCTTTAACTTGGATACTCAACGGTGGGATAAGGTTCCTCCAACATCTGTTGCCCAATACTTCCCTTATGGGGCTATCTGTGTCGAAAACTCACTTTATCATATGAGGGAAAAGGGGGCTGTGAGACAATGTATGGTTTTTGATCGTGGTTGTGGTTACGAGCCTCTACACATTGTCAAGAGAGGGCCCTTACCTAAGCCCATCACAAGTAGCAGTAAGGGTATTCTCAATCTCAAGAATGCTCTTTTAAACAGAGACAAAGTCCAAGTGCTGGCTACATCAACAGAATTGGAGGGCAATGATGAGACCTTTTTCACTCATTCCAGTTTCAATCCTTGGAGAGAACTTCTCCACTTGGGAGGTTCTTTCTTCTGTTATGTCGTCGCTGCTGAAGTCATGGACAATGAGGATGGTACTTCCCTTGATCCGCATACCCGTTTTTTTTGGATTAAGGTCTTCAAGGAGGTTAAAGGGGAGAGTGGTGCTGCTGAATTCCTACCTCTGGCCTCTTTCTTCTACAAGTTTCGCGCCGACTTCCCTACCTATTCTGAGATGATCCGCTGCTGCGCTGTTGGCCATGTCCCTGACTGTAAGTCCTTTGTTAGTGTAGTGTTCTCGGTTATTGATTGATTGGTTGACTGAATATAGGAGGATTCTGTTGCCTTTTATTCCCTCAATGTGTTGCCATATTTTGTTTGTTGAGTTTTTTTTGGCTGCCCTAGTTCATATGGTGTTCCCTACTATGAGCTAGTGAAAAGATTGTACTCCGTATCTTTTTTTATTTAGCTGAATTAATGTCTTACAAAAAGCTAACTTCAGGTACATGGACAAGTATATTTTTTTAAAATATAAATTTCATATTACAATTAGACAGTTTGGAGTCTATTGAATTTAGTATATCCACCTGGTAATCATCTTATTATAAGTGTTGTTTGTTAAGGAATCAAGGGAATAGTTTCGAATTTTCCCTATTATTATTATTATTATCATTATTGTTGATGTTGTTGTTGTATATTTGAAACATGGTCAAGTAGTTTTTTAAATTTAATATTACAAGTAGACAGTGTGTGTTAATATTGAAAAAGTAGTATATCCACCTGGTAATCATCTTACATTGAACATTATTCATTTTTACACTTACACTGAAGAATAGTGAAAGTGGATTTGTTTTATCACTGTGCAACCATGGATGAAGAATCTCATATGAATATGAATGTTGCCTGATGTACTGCTGACTGCAGCTTGGAGTAATTTGCTGCCGAAGAAACAACAAGAAAGCCGGAAGAGAACTGTAAAACGTACAGCCACTACTACTAGCCTGCAGGAAAAACAAGAGTCGAGTGGGTCAAAGGATGTTCAAACAGAGGGCCATGATCAAGCTGCAGATGCTGTGGCGGTTTGCAACCTTAAGAAGCTTTTGGCAGGTAAAGCTTCAACTCTCCTTGAGTTTTAATCTGAGCAAGTTAGTATGGTGGTTAATTATTTTGTACTGATTGGTTGCAGCCCAGGAAGAGGAAATCAGAAGGCTCAAGGACGAGCTTGCGCGGTTGGCCAAGAACAAAAACATGCTTATGGTTTAAAATGAAAGCTTAATGGTTGGGACACTTGTTATTTGTAGAGAATATTTAGTAGATCCTGTGGTGGTTGGCTGTAGTCTACAATATTCTTTGCGAATCTTAAGCGCGTCCGCAGCTGGTCATTTGGGTATCCGGAACGCTCTATTTAAGGTACTTGGCAAGCGGGTCATTTGGATCTCCTTGTGGTTCCTATTTGGCATTTGTATTTGGATATGTGCAATTTGTAATTTTCGCCCCCCCCCCCCCCCTTTGGTACGGAGTAATTTATTTGTACGCCACTAGTCCTAAATAAGTAAATGTTGTGGACCTTCTATGCTATTTATTCCTTTTTTTCCTTCACCAAATTTCTAAAAATGTATGCGGATGCAAATGCACTTTGATACAAGTGTATTAGTTAAAATGTATGCGGATGTAATTGTCATTTTTCTTTTAGATTTATCGGAGTTTGTTTTATCAACTTGTGTATTAGTTAATTAATATGTATGTGTGTGTGTGTGTATACACCACACACACACACACACCACACACACACACACATTTGAGATGTGAACCTATATTCGCAATTAATGTAGTTCCAACATTTCAGCTAATGAGCAACAATTATTATCTTCAAAGAAATTCAACTTGTTCTTTGAAATACTAAACACACGTTTTAATGTTCTTTTGATAGTATTATGTTGATTATATTCTTAGTTCATAATGCTACTCCCTGTTGTTAATCATACTGTCTTATTAATGTCTATTGCAGTCTAATGCTTCGCAATCCCAATATCTTCTCACTCTTAACGATGGAGTAATGCTAAGTTCACAAATAAAATATACTCAGAAACTTTACAAACTTACTATATATAGTTTAAATTCTAATTTTAAAATTAATTTAGACTATTTTTTTTATTAAAATTCACAATAGTAAATTTGTGACCAGTGTGAACCAATCATTTCCCTTAACGATGTCCGGTGCAGTGCCTTCTCCTAAATCTTGACCAGTAGAAAGATGAATATATTTTAAAAAGAAAAAGAATAAATGAACCATTAGTTGCGATGACGACTACAATCTTGATTCCGACTCGGATGAATTCCTTCACCGTGAATGTTTGATCAAAGATCCTCAACCATTAGTTGCGATGACGACTACAATCACGGACAAGAATCGTTTTAACATAGTCTCTATGCTCCGTATTATAAGCACTAAATTAAAAAAGAATAAATTTTTTAAAATGTCCCTAGTTATAGGTCGTTTTACATATTTAGTCCATACATATCAAATATTACTAATTTTGTCCCCAATTATTATATCATTTTTCACGAATGACCCTTTGATAAAGTTTTAATTAAGAACATACTCCCTCCATCCCAATTTAAATCGCATGTTTTGATTTTTAGGCATACTTAAGGAAAACAAAAAATAGAATTGATTTTTCGAAATTGACATTACTTTTTAGGAGGGTGATGATGAATGAAAAGATAAGGTGAAGAAAAATGACTTATTTTAGGGGTAGTTTAGGTATTTTATTTTTAAAAAACGGAGAAAAAAGGCAAACAAGCCATTTAAAATGGGACATAGGGAGTACATTCATACTTCTCTCTTTTCTCAATTAAGTTTCTTCTCTCCTCTCACACTTTTTCCCAAACTCATCACTTAGTTTGAAGCTCTAAACCCAAAACCGAAATGATCATTTCACTCTCAGTTATTAGTCTTTTTGGTGAAACCTAAAATCAAAACCAATAAGCTTTATGATGAGTTTTATTTGTTAGTCTCAAGAAACTGCAAAGAAAATAAACATTAAAACTCACCCATGAAGGTGATGATTTTAGTTTTGGGTTCAAAGATTTTAAATCAGCGACGGGTTTTGGAAAGAAGTGCGAGGGGAGGAAAGAAGCTTAATTGAGAAGAGAAAGGAATGTGAATTTACAATTTTATCCACGTTCTTAACGGAAATGTAAACAAAGGACCATTCATGGAAATGAATATAATAATTAGGGACTAAATTAGTAATATTTGATATGTAGGGACTAAATATGTAAAACGACCTATTACTGGGGATCTTTTATAGAATTTACTCTAAAAAAGATTTAGTGCATTTTATTACTCCATTATTTATAGAGTTATATCCTAAGTATAAAATACAAGGGTATTATGTAGCATTTTCCATTTGGAGAAATGAGTTATGTTTTACTATTAAATCACACAAATGTTACTATATATATATATATATATATATATATATATATATATATATATATATATATAAACTTATTTATCTATAATTCCTTAATTATTTTTATAATTATTTTTATAATTCCTTAATTAAAACTGTGACACAAAAAAATTAAATTTAATCTTTTCAAAAATTATTGAGGTATGTTAAATTGATTATTGGTTAAATTATGAATTTGTGTTTGGGTTTCGGGTTTAAGTGTTGGATTCGGGTCGAAGTTTTGGCTTAAAATATCCTATTTTGGGTCAAATTTTAGTTCGGGTTTCCATTTTGAAAGTAGGCCCCGGTTCGGGTATATACCCAAACCCTACTGTTGCCATCCGTATTCAGCTCCCATCAACGCGCGCGCGCGCAGCAGCAGCAAGATTGGAAAGGACAGAGAGCGAAGAGCTGCGGGAAAAGAGTAGAACTCCGCAGGCCTTCACCGCCTAGCTCTTCCTCCGCTGTAGTCTGTTGTTCCTCGCCCTCTTCTCAACTGGTGTGGTATTTTGTTTTGAAACTGAATGCTTGTGCTTTACCTAAATTTGTTTCTATACTCATTTACATACATAGTCGAATTATTCCACAGGCTAATTCTACTGCTAGTTCCTAAACAACTTTTATTCCTTTCAGGCTTTACATCTCTTCAAAACAGGAAATCATGGTTGATGATGAGACTGTGAGTGTTTGATTTTACTTGTCTGCATCGATGTTTTTGTTGTTATTCGACATAGTTCATTATGGTTCATGTATGCGCCTTTTTTATTCTTTGAAGGTTGGATCCAAATTTACACATTTGGATTTCTTTTGTGATATGGAGGAATGGGACTCTTACTATCAAAATAAAAACTTAGGCTCCCCTCCATATGATTGGTATGTATCGTGGAAGCAAATAAAACTTGCGCTCGTGCCTATTTTGGAGGGGCTCTGCAACGAAATCAAAAAAGAAGATCTTAGGATATTGATACCAGGTTGCGGTGATTCCGGACTAAGCAAAAAATTGTATGATGCTGGCTTCACAAGCATCACAAGTGTAGATTATTCTACACCATTGATGCATTTGATGAAGAAACGATACAATTTGGATGGGATGCAATGGATCAATAAGGATTTTGTTTTATCACGTCTTGAGGTTATTTTTTTTATTTTTCATGTATTTGTATAGTCCCTGGATGTGTGGTCCGTTCACAACCGAGAACCGAAGCTTGATTGCATCCCACAGATCGGAAGATAATTCCCCGAGTGATATTGAGGATCGTAACGAGGGCTCAATTGTATTACGAATCCAAGATACCAACAGGGAGTGATTGGTCCACCAATCATCTAGGTCGTCGGAATATATCAGGAAAAGAAATATATCAGGAATAGAAAACAGAATATGCTTAATTATATTTATTCCTAATTCCTAACAGATATGTTGATAGTTGATGTATCCACATTAATCTTGATCCAACGGGCAACTGATGTTGACCATCTGATGATCTTGACTTTGTGCTTGATGTTGAAATGATAGAAACCCTGCAAATAGAAAAGAGTATGCTTTCTGCAAATTTAGTGTTACTAAGTGTGATATACCAGGTGAAGATATCCTTATTAATGGAGTGAGGAATCATGTTCTGATATGGATTATGGTTTTCATTGAGAGAGCTGCTGTAGGATTTTCAGATATTCCAGGTGATGATGCCAGGTATAAATAGTAGTGTTCATTCGGATATATTCGATCCAGTTTTTTTGAATAACCAAAGTTTTCGGATCGGCAAATATTTATTACATGTCCGATCCGGAAATCATTGGATATCCAAGTTTCAGATATCCGAAATTTCAAATAGGATCAACTGAATATCCAAAATAAATTTTTACATTTATTTTTTGAATTTCTATCTCTACTTCCGCAAGAAACTAATCAAATCACTATGCAAGTTGATCTCCAGTTCAACTTGATTGCATAGTGATTTGATTAGTTTAAGCAGCTGCCAAAGTGGGGAGTGGGAATTCAATTCCAATGCGTGTTTGGGTATTTGAATTTGGATTTCAAATCTAGATTTGATTCAAATTACTCGTTTGGGAATTTAAAGAACTTAGATTTGGATTTGAATCGAATTCTTCTAATTCAAATCTAACTTAACTACAAATCAACATCCCTCCCCATGTCATTTACAAATTCAAACTCAATATTTTTTTAATTTAAAATTTGTAATTAAAGAGTGATCTTCCTTTATATAATACGGAGTAACAATAATTCCATGCACAAAAACTCACTTCCGTTATTGTCTTTACCGACTTTAAAATTCAAATTTTAGAATTGAAATTCTATGACTTCCCAAACAACATTGTGAATTTGAAATTATACAATTTCGAATGTTGGAATTGAAATCTAAGATTTTAATTGAATTCTAGTTCTCAGACACTACTTAACTAAATTTTAATGATGAAAGTGGTTACCATCGGTATTTGCATAAAAGAACCTAGCCATCTTGAAGTTGAGTATATTGATGATACTCCTGGGTAGTTTGGATGTGGGCATTGAAGGCATAGGGATAGCAGCAATGACGTGTTTGATTAGGATGGTCCTTCCTATTTGGCTTTAGTCTTTAAGATGGCATCCGATAAGTCTGTTTTGTACTTATCTTATGCTTTTTTTGTATTTAATACATTCTTTTACTATTTTGATTATCAAATCAAAAGCGTGCTATTGAATTAACATGTAAAAATTGGGCCAATTATGGAATAAAAAGAGTTATATTTTTAGCAAAAAATTAACTATATTTCAAAATCAGTGCGGAATTTGAAGTCGGTTTAGAAGGAAAAAATGTTTGGAAAGTGGTTTTTAGAATTGACAAAAGTTGGTAGATCAGATGGTGAAGCGAGGACGATCAACTGGGCACATATGGCAAACTGGGCGGGCAGCAGCGGCTGGCGGGCAGAGACTCATGTATTCCAGCACTAGAATATGCTCCCTCCGTCTACCAAAGATTTTCTCATTACGTGTTAAGAGGCTTGACCGACTTTATTTTCAAATTACTCAGTAATTTATTTGATTGTAGGGGTGAAACTTAAAAATAAAATTTATATACGGAGTAATAAAAAATTACATGAAAAGTTTTACAAAACTAGATGTGACAAGAAAAGATTATTTCAGGAAATAAGTAGTAAAATAAGCCATTAAAGTGAGTTAATTTTGATCCTATGGATAGTGTAATGTCCCGAAACCCGGCCTATCGGAATGAATTGATTAATAATAAATAATTAATTATTAGGACACACTCAATGTAATCATGAATTATTCTTCGTTGACCAAAAGAATTATACTCCCTCCGTCCTAAAATTAACTTTCCATTTGACTTTTCACGGTCTCCAATGCGACACTTTGACCATCAATATCTCAATTTTTATGTAAATATATTTTATAAAAATTATATATTTCAAAACTATATTCCAAAATGAATCTATTGCTAATAAATTTATATGAAAATTCAATGTATTTTTTCCTTAATCTACGGTCAAAGTTTAAAAAGTTTGATTACAAAAGTCAAACTGGGAAATTAATTTTAGGACGGAGTACCATTGTTTAGGATTAGAAGAAACGAATCCAACATAGCAAACGCATCCCTCGCCTCACGGCTCTCTCTCGTTCCCTTCTTGTCGATCGAAGAACATCAGCATACCAGAATCGAAGAAGAAGAACGCAGCAGCGAGAAGAAAGATGAGAAAAGAAGGAAAAAGGAAGAAGGAGTTCGTTTTCACGTTCCTCGCTCGTGGTATTATCGTCATAGTTTCTAAAGGTTGTAATCAAGGTGAGTGCGTTGACATCTAACGTATAGTTATATTAGTAGGTATGAATCTTAGGTTCGTAGAATTGTTATGGTTGAGTTATGCGAAACCCTATGTAATTGATACATTGTTTATGATGTGATTTGCCGTATCAGGGTTCAATTCTCAAACTTTCTGCTCAATTTTTCATCTTGTACAGTGAAATTCCAGCGTTTTGTGTCTTCAAAAACCATTTCTTTAGCTCCAATTAATCTACGGTAAATTCTGAAATATATATGTTTTGATACATCTAAAAAGTACTTAGTAATGTTGTTAAACTGTATAATTAAATAGTACTGATTTTTTGCTATCATATCCTTGTTCTGCAATGTTATTGGTATTGCTACTGTGGGACTCTGGGTGGAGGGATCTGGAAACATTGTTGGAATGGGCAAAGAAAAGTTTATAGTTTATTTAATTGAATGTGGAGGTTTGTTTGTAGTTTGTTATGATGTTGATGTTGAAGCTTGAAGGTGTAATTTTGATTTTTCATTTTTAACAAGCCGCTGCGTTGTTGAACTTTATGCTATCTATGTCTCGATTTGTTGCCCAAAAGATTTCAAATTTTGGAACTGATAGGCGGTTATTGTGAAGTGTAGTTATTATAACACTGAAATAGCCACTGGTTTTTAAGTTTTAAATGGCATTCGTTGCTGAACCCTGGTTTGGTATTTGTAAAATATTTGGAGTTGTATTTGTTAATCTGGGTTATTGAATTGCGTATATCTATAGACCTTCAGGTCTCAGAATAGCAAAGGTAGAAGAACGGATGGCAATGGCATCATCTGAATCACCCATAAAAATCTTCATATTGGTGGAGTATGAGATTGAAGAGATGGCCCATTCCTTGTTTATGATAGACCTACCAACTGACCTGATCCAACAGAAGGTCGACTTGGAGGATGGGTTTGAGGAGGTTTCTCCTGTGTTGTCCTTCCCCGAGAACAAGTTCTTAGACAACACAGAATTCGTCAAGCTTGGGTCAGAAATATACTTGTTTGGTGGTAGTAGTCTAGGATTAGTCCCAAGCCTTGACCGTCACACGCACCTACAAACCACTGTCCAGGTCCTGGACACCAACAATCCTGAGAAAGGGCTGCACCGTGTCGCCCCAATGAACGCCATCAAGGAAAGAAACTGCGCCTTTGTGGCAGATGGCATGATCTACACACTTGGGGCATCTGTAGACAGTTCAGAGTGTGGAATGAGTGGCTGTTTCGAGCGTTATTCACCCCAATTGGACAAGTGGGAGGTCCTCCCTGACCCACCGCTCCCTTTGGAGCAGCTTTCTTGTGCAGACTGGACTAGTCACGCCAGTGTGGTGGGTAGGAAGGTCTTCATTGGCAGTGAATGGCGTGATTTGTATCTCATCTTTAACTTGGATACTCAACGGTGGGATAAGGTTCCTCCAACATCTGTTGCCCAATACTTCCCTTATGGGGCTATCTGTGTCGAAAACTCACTTTATCATATGAGGGAAAGGGAAGCTGTGAGGCAATGTATGGTTTTTGATCGTGGTTGTGATTACGAGCCTCTACACATTGTCAAGAGAGGGCCCTTACCTAACCCCATCACAAGTAGCAGTAAGGGTATTCTCAATCTCAAGAATGCTCTTTTAAGCAGAGACAAAGTCCAAGTGCTGGCTACAGCAGCAGAATTGGAGGGCAATGATGAGACCTTTTTCACTCATTCCAGTTTCAATCCTTGGAGAGAACTTCTCCACTTGGGAGGTTCTTTCTTCTGTTATGTCGTCGCTGCTGAAGTCATGGACAATGAGGATCGTACTTGGCTTGATCCGCATACCCGTTTTTTTGCGATTAGGATCTTCAAGGAGGTTAAAGGGGAGAGTGGTGCTGCTGAATTCCTACCTCTGGCCTCTTTCTTCTACAAGTTTTGCGCCCAATTCCCTAACTATTCTGAGATGATCCGCTGCTGCGCTGTTGGGAATGTCCCTGACTGTAAGTCCTTTGTTAGTGTAGTGTTCTCGGTTATTGTTTGATTGATTGATTGACTGAATAAAGGAGGATTCTGTTCCCTTTTATTCCCTCAATGTGTTGCCATATTTTGTTTGTTGAGTCTTTTTTGGCTGCCCTAGTTCATATGATGTTCCCTACTCTGAGCTAGTGAAAAGAATGTACTCCGTATCTTTTTTTATTTAGCTGAATTAATGTCCAACAAAAAGCTAACTTCAGGTACATGGACAAGTGTTTTTTTTGTAACATGGACAAGTATTTTTGAAACATGGACAAGTATATATAAATTTCATATTACAATAAAACAGTTTGAATTCTATCGAATTTAGTATATCCACCTGGTAATCATCTTATTACAAGTGTTGTTTGTTAAGGAATCAAGGGAATAGTTTCTTATTTTCCCTATTACTGTTGTTGTATTTTTGAAACATGGACAAGTAGTTTTTTAAATTTAATATTACAATTAGACAGTTTGTATTAACATTGAAAAATTAGTATATCCACCTGGTAATCATCTTACATTGAACATTATTCATTTCTACCCTTTCACTGAAGAATAGTGAAAGTGGGTTTGTTTCATCACTATGCAATCATGGATGAAGAATCTCATATGAATATGAATGTTGCCCAATGTACTGCTGACTGCAGCTTGGAGTAAATTGCTGCCGAAGAAACAACACGAAAGCTGGAAGAGAACTGTGAAACGTACAGCCACTACTACTAGCGGGTCAAAGGAGGTTAAGACAGAGGGCCATGATCAAGCTGCAGATGCTGTGGCGGTTTGCAAGCTTAAGAAGCTTTTGGCAGGTAAAGCTTCAACTCTCCTTGAGTTTTAATCTGAGCAAGTTAGTATGGTGGTTAATTATTTTGTACTGATTGGTTGCAGCCAAGGAAGAGGAAATCAGGCGGCTCAAGGACGAGCTTGCGCGGTTGGCCAAGAAGTAGAACATGCTTATGGTTTGAAATCAAGGCTTAATGGTTGGAATACTTATTATTTATAGAGAATATTTAGTAGACCTGGGAAGAGTGGGAAGGAAGTGATTAGACAGGACTTAGGACTGCTTAACCTTTGTGAAGAAATGGCCTTAGATAAGAGCATTTGGAGAGTAGGATTAAAGTAGTTGGGTAGCTGCCAGGGGTGGTAGTGTTGTGTGTTTGACATACCTTTTATGCTTGGAGTTTTTTTGCCATTTGCTTGAAATACTCTTGTTTCGTAATTTTAGTTTTTTTCTCGATGTTGGGTTTTTGTTCTGTGCTCTTCACAACCAAAAAATACTTTCTCCCTCCCTAAATGTTTATAATATTTCAGAAAATGAGAAAAAATATATAGTTTTTTCAATTCATTTTATTTAAATATTTGGTATAAAAATAAAAAATAAGATTTACATATTTAAAAACTACTTGAGAAATTCTTCAAAATAAGACTTTTCAAATAATCAATGAAAACGTATAAATAAACAAAAGTTTTCGTGATTATTGAAAAAGGAAATGTTACAAATATTTTGGAGAGAAAGTAAAATATAACTACGGAGTATAAAAGAAAAAATAAAAGACGGGAGAGCACAAATTTTTTATGCAAAAAATTGATTTACTCTCTTACATCACCAATAAAATCAATGAATCGTAAATCAATATTCATAAAAAAAATTATAAATCAATCACTTGGACATATACCAAATCCTTCATATCCATCATATATAAACACGTAAATAATACTCCGGAGTAGATGACTGAAAGATTACACTCTCCATATTTTGTGTAGAAAATAAGAATCACGATGTAAAATCTTATATTTTTTAAAATTATTTAATTTATAAATTGGCAAATCAATAAGAAATAAAACATGGGTTACTCGGAGAATGTGCAAAGTAGCCAACTGCGCAAGGTCTTTAAAATTTTAAGGACCCATATTTTTAAATGTGTATTATTCTAATTATTTGTTATGTTTAAATTTAACATAAGTTTGTGTTTTTATATTCAAATTTTTATAAAAGTAATTATTAAAAATCAATTTCAGCATTAATTTTGAAGCATAAATATTCTGAAAAAATAAAATTGGGTCCAAAATATGAATTTCGGATTGGCTCAATTTCACTTTTTCATTTTTCAGGACCGACTGTGATAGCAATTACATATTAGAAAACTACATCCAAATTTTTACAAAATAACAGGTGATAAGAATATCTTATTTTATCAAATAATCAATGAAAATACGCAAATAAACAAAAGTTATCGAGAAGAGAGAGAAAATAAAAATCGTAATAAAAATAGGGACGAAGAAAGTATTAAAATACTACATCAAAAGATTTACAAAACTAGTAGTGACATAAGTATTTTATCTTATTAAATAACTACGGAAAAAAGAGAAAAAAATGAATGTTATTGGACCATGTGAATAGTAAGCAAGAATTTTAATTTGAGACGGAGGGAGTAGTATTATTGCAATTCCCATCCCATTATTTTTTTCAATGTAGTACTTCGGGTCATTGTCCACAAGTCACTGTTTAAGTAAATGTCCATCAACACAGGATATTCTTCAAGTTAAATTGTCCACCAACACTGGATATTGTTCCTGACACTAGATATTATTCAAATATTAATTAAAAATAAAAATCTTTAAGTACTACATAAAAATGATATATATTTTAATACTCCCTCCGTCCCAGAGTATTTGTCCACATTCATTTTTATACACCATCCAATACACCTCTTTAATCCATTTTATCTTGTAACTTGTATATTAAAAAATTATAAAAATTATATATTAATAATCTATACGTTAAAATAAATCAAATAAAATCACACATGACTATATTTAGGCTTACACATTGAGAGAATTTGATGTGTCAAAGTACTTAGATGAACAGTTCCAAAAGTCAAAACTGAACGAATACTCCGAAACGGAGGAAGTACTCCGTATTATTTATTCACTATATATAAATAGAGGTATTTGAACATTTTTTTCCCAACCCAAAACTGGGACATAATGGGCTTAACCTTTACTTTGTGGCCTACTTCTCCACGGGCCCGTCATCTCAAGTTCTATTTATTGTTCTTTTTTATGAATCACACCTAGAGGTGGCAATCGGATCAACCGGATCGGTTTCGGGTTGGATTTTTTCGGTTCGGATATCTTTCGGTTATATTTTATAATTGGTTCGATTCAGTTCGGATCGGTTAAATTTCGGTTCAGATTTGATTGGTTCTATACATTTTTCGGTTCGGTTCGGTTTGGAGTCGGTTCAGATACGGTTCGGTTATAAATCGGTTCGGGTAGATTTCAATTCGGATACAATTTGAGTCGTATATATTGGTTTCGGGTCTAGTTTGGTTCGGATATATTTCGGTTTGGGGTCAAATATATTTTGGATATATATTATTTTCTAATTTTCCCCTTTTGACTTTTTAGTCATATTTTACAAATTTGGACTACAAATTATGAAAACATATATATTTAATTATGGTATAAATTAAATATAATTAAATTGATTTTAAAATTTAGTTTTGAAATATAAAAATTTTCTCACATCTACTAATATACTTATGTATATAAATGAAAGGATAAAAGATAAATTCAAATAGTCTTATGTTCCATTTGAATAGAATTTGGTAAAAATTGAGATAAATCACTATTTAAAAATTACGGAAATTTTATTTGTTTGTGCGTTATCATTTATATGCATTACTTATCTTTAATTTCTACATATAATAAATTTAAAGCATGAAAATTTGTACTTTTTTTCAAGAAGATAATCCATTTTATGAGGGAATGAGCAAGTAATGTAACTAGTTCAAATGGTAAAATAAAAGTAAAAATTTAAAAATATAATATACTTATTGAAAGGTAAACATAGTTCTGAATTTATCGATTTTAGTTCTAATCGAATTCGGATATTATCGGTTTCAGATCTAATCGGTTTCGGATTTTATCGGTTTCGGGTATTATCGGGTCCGGATCTAATCGGTTTCGGGTTTAATCGGTTCGGATATTATCGGTTTCGGATCTAATCGGTTTCGGGTTTAAATCGGATATGAATTATTTAGTTCGGTTTCGGTTCGGTTCGGATCATTTCGGGTTTTCGGTTATAGATCGGATCTTCATTTTTCGGAT